ACAGAGCGACACCAAAAGAAAATTTGAAAAAAATTAGACTCTTTTGAATCCCTGTGTAAAAGGTAAACTCTTACCGCGAAAGTGATGAATTTTTAAATTTAAAATCTTACGTAATACAAAGTTCACTACCCTCCCTTACATAATTTATGAATGCCCTTCTGCTATGTTAGAATATTATCTCAGCGCCATCTACCATTCGCAACTGCAACTCAAATATACTTTTGAATATCTGACACAACTGCAGCGCAGTCTGCCGGAATTCCATATAAAACGTTCTAACATCAACAACAATTTAAAAAATAAATAAATACATTGTTAAAACATTGGGTGCGTTCGAGATGGCAATCACGACAGCAGTGTTGCAAATTTGTCAAAGTATCACGTTCTGCGTGAATTTTTGGCAACACGTGCAACAGCATCACGTTCTGCTGTCATTTTTTGTTCGCAATTTATGCAAATAATCGGCAAAACTAAATTTTTGTCTGCACATCAGCAGAGTATCAGCAAATATGCAACACAGTAGCTGTACTGCTGCAATTATTACGTAGCTCGAACGCACCCATTATCTAGTTGATCAAATTGTGAATCTAAACCATCACAAAATTTCATCAAAATCGGTCCAGCCGTTTAGGAGGAGTTCAATAACATACACACGCACAGAAGAAATAAATATATAAAGATGTATATTATTACACTATGTATAAATATATACATATGCATATAAAAATTTCATGTCACGTTTTCTCCGGGGTTAACTCCTAAACTACTCAACCAATTTTAGTGAAATTTTGCACACTGTGTTCAGTTTGATCCAACCTAAAAGATATGATAGTTTATATCTTAATTACGTTAACAGAAAAACAATTTATAATTTCATTTCATATTTCATGTTGCTGTGTTTTCAAAATTCAAAAAATATTAAATTTTCATCAAAATGCCAAATGGAAATTCATTCTTTTTTTAATTGACAAATATTTGTAAGAAATATTTTCAAAATTAAACCTCAAGTACGATCAGTTGGACTCTTATACCGGCAATAACGTTTTCGCCTTTGTTCGTAAATAATATTTTCACTGTATTGAATAGTTTATATAATATAATATGTATAGCTTAGCAAAAGCAACGCGTGGTCTTACTAGTACATTATAGATGCCTTAAGGTGCCCAGAAATACCTGTTGCGAGAGCTTCAAAACTGGGCACAAATGATACATAAATTCGGATGGAACATTTGGAATTTTTTAAATAAGTTTAAAAAATCCTTTACTTACTGACTGTTTACTGTACTTGTTACTGCGATAGCGTCCCCATTTGGTGCTAATATAGCAATGTTGGCTGTTCCCCTGTCCTCTTCATTTGTAAAGTTCGCACCATAGTGAGCGAAATCAATGTATGTGCGATCGTCTAAGATAAGCTCTCGAGATTTGGCAGCAAAACTAGGGTCAAGCATATTTCTGTATGTTTCAGAAACATGCGGTTCAAAGTGAATATCGCCAAGTAAGGTTCGATGTCCATATGCATGTTTGAAAGTTTCAATCAGTCGCTGCCAAAATACCGGTTCATTTTTTGTATACATTGTTTCCATAACATTTAGTATAAAAGCCAGCACAACACCACTAGTTGGCAATGGGGTGGTATGTAAGGTATAACCATGCTTAAATTTCACTTCAACTGTATCTTCCCAACGTACTCTGGGAAGTACATTGCATAAAATAATGTATATTTATTTGGCAGAGTACTTACTCATAATTTTTTAAATCTGACTCTGTAACAATTCCCCCCATTTCTTGTATATCTTGTACCAGCTTTTTGCCAACTCTCCCACCATTATAAATAACTCCTGGCCCTTCTTCAGCAACTATTTTCAACGTTTCACCTAATTTTGGGCGATACATTATTTCCCCTTCTTTGTACAGCTCATTAGTTTTTGGATTAATAAATATCTCAGCCATTGAGACTTCATTGCATATGCGATCGCAATATAAGTTTAATACATCCGCCAGATATTTTGAAACTTTAAGACCTTTAAAGCATAGCTCAATTGTCGGTTCAAATAATACCTTCCAAGGCAATTTTCCATATTTAGCATGCAAACACCAATATCCATATATTTCACTGGGTATAGCAACAGCTAGAGCGCCTTCGTACATCGTCGATTACAATTGTGTAATAGGTATACCACATTTATACAAAAGATTGTAATTATTTTTAAAATTCTATTATATTCTCATTATTATACCCGTAATTTTTTTGTTAATAAACATTTTCTCATCTGAATCAGCTGGCGCGGTTTCTCGCGCGATTAGTGTTTCAATTTTTCCTGTTTCCTTGCAGTAAATTGTAGCCACAAACCCACCGCCAATCCCCATGCTATGAGGCAGCATCACACCCTCACATAGTAATGTAGCAATCGCTGCATCCACTGCCGAGCCACCGTTGCTTAATATTTTTCTAATTGTTTGTGTCAAATAATGATATCATGTAAACTGTTGCAATTACTTCAACTTTCTATTTACCCTCCAACCTCGGCGCAGCCATTACCATTTGAAACAATAACACCATAACCAAGCTTTAATGTCCCATCATGTTTACTTCTTAATACAAGAGCCAAACCCAATGAAATGCCAATGATGGCTAGAAAAAGTATTACCCAAATTTTGGCGTATTTTTTGCAGCAGCTATACAGAACAATTTTTATTTTTTTTTTTAATTCAAATGAAATTTCGTGTTTTTTTTTCAAATTTGGAACTACTAAAATTTATGGTTTTTTTGGGATGATATAAAAAATTCAGATATGCGTTCATTTTTCATTCAAATTCAATTCACCAAATGACGTTGTCAAAAATGAAACAACACTATCAAAATACTACATATGTATATACATACATAGATATGTATTGTGTACTTATCAAATCATATTTATAAACCTTGTGTTGGCTTTATTCGCCAACAGCGGAGATTTTATTTGAGTAGCCTGTATATTTCTCCATGGCGTCCTTGATATATAATTATCGTTATTCCTCATATCGTCGGCTTAGAGTGTAAACCCTCTAAATCCTTCTAATACACACTACACTACAATCTTAATACGTACTCGTATTTATATTATATATTATAAATATATAAAAGGTATATGATATATATAAAAGTTTAAACTTTACTCCTTTTCTGTTCAATTTATGAATGGAGATATTAAAGTTGCTGCACATTATGTTAAACTATGTACATATACAGTAGTGTCGCGAAATCCTTATGGAGTTATTTAAATTGCATACTTTTTAAAATTTTACTCCCAAATCAATTCTTCAAGTTTTCGCATCGGTCGTAAGTCAGGAAAAAACCACCCAAATGTTGATAATCTACAATTGTTACAAACATTGCTACAATTTACTCCCTTGTTTAAAAAGCTATATTAAAATTTCAGTAAATATTATTTTTACTTTATATTATAACAAGCAAATACCCACCCGGGTAATTATGACCTATAGAAATTTTCAAGATGTGTTTACTGTGCCATTGCTTTGCCTTATACATTCAAAGGATATAAATCTTCATAAACCCTCTTTATTTGGTGAATTTTTGTACATTTTTTTATACAAATTGTTATTTTGTAACAATGGTCGCGTCCCAATAATAACCAACCTGTCTAACAAGTGAATAGAATATGAATCTAAATCTATTTTTGGACCGTTATAAGATAAGATAATTAAAAGACATTTTATCCCAATTTTAGAAGTTTTATTACTTATGTATGTAATTATTTTGTACATATATTTTACCTGACAAAATGCTAAATGATACATACTTGTAGTACGAACAGTACAATACCAATTTAAAGTAAACGATTTTGTACAAATATATAGTTGGAGTGATCACCAAAACTATAAAAGCAATATTACATAATTATATACCCTATGTAATTAAAAAAATTATTATTCTCGTCACGGATTTTTTATAATTAGTTATTAAAAATGGATACTACAATATAAACATAGGCAATAATTGAATTATTTTCCAACTATACGAATCGCATGCGCACATAAACTCTTCGAATTCGAGTTATGAGTATGCAAACAACTCTGGAAATATTTTGTGTTCTTGAAAGGATGACTACGAAGAACATCGGAAGACAAAATATGAAAAGTGATCTGATAGTCAACGAAACAATATCGCCATACTGAATCTTAATTCCAATTTGCAAAGAAAAGTGATATTTTCAGGCACAAAAAGTTGCCTCACATTCTTATGAGTTCTTGTCAGCGTTATAATGATTATGTATGTATGTATATGTGTATATGTATATAAAATGTAGAAAAATTCATGTAAACATTATTTTAAGTATAGAAATGTGTATATACGTTATCTTTGCAGAAAATAAATTGTAAAACAATTAAAAGCCAGCTTTATTTTAAAAAATATAGCAGTATTGACCTTAGATGCTGCAAAAAGTATATTAACAAATGTTGATGAATTAGATTTTAGTTTTTTATTCAAGCTTGGTTTATAAAAAAAATATGGCCAGACGGTTTTGGATCCAGATTCTGAAGGAGTGATAAAAATTCACAGCCTGCAATCCCTTTATCAGTCTAATCTTGCAACAGATGTTATATAATCTTTCAAAGTAAAGCTAACATATTGTGACTGGCATTTAGTCATACAACTTATATATGCATTTATTGCAAATTATACTCCTAATTATTCTGAATTAGTGTATTAATCTAAAAATATAATATTAACTGAGCAAAAATATACATTAAAATGACCACAATAAAAAAATTGTGGAAAACCCTATTACTTGCTCTTAGCCATAGATATCATTTCAGTGTCCCATGACGGCGATGGCTACACCTTAACTATAATAATAGTATATAATATATAAAAATAGCTAAATTATTATAGTTTTTTATAGTATATATCGTTTGTTAAGTGGTTTGAAATATTTAAGTATTTTTACTATCAATTTACGATAAGTAAAATCTACTTTTTATTTTGAAAATAATATCATGTTCATGGAAAAACAGAACTAAGGCAAAATCAGATATAATGATATCACGAATACAAAATATTTTCTCTGTCTAATGTTGAAATGAAAAGAAATATTAGAATGCAAGAGTTTGCCAACCAAACCAGTGGAAATTGAAAAAACGAATCGGTTGATAGGATGCATCACCATGTATGAGCTTTGTCTTTAAAAAAAATTAAAATAATCCAGTAAAATTACGAAAAAAAAAAAATTACTCCTCCGAAATTCTTTTTCTCAAATCTCTCTGTTTTAATTTTTACATGACTACTTCGATGCTGAATTATTAAACACTTTTTTGTAAGTCTGAAATATGAATTACCAGCCACCACTGGAATTAGTACAGATAAAAAACGCTCGCTCAAAGAACTATCATCATTTTGTCCATCTACTACTATTTTCGAAGTATTCGCCACTGCAATTAATGTTGTCAAAAATACCACTATTTTCATCTACATTTTCTCCACCTGATGGGAATTGCATAAGATTGGTATTTATACCGTCAAGGCTTAATGATGGAGATGATTGAATGCTACTAACACTTATTTGGTCATCATATAAGTCAATGTTAATAATTGTATTATGTTCACTACCTCTTTCGGTAAAATAGGTATCCAAACTATTTGAACTTGGGTTTGCATTATTCGTTAGATCCGAAACTTCGAACAAATTTTCGTTGGTATTTTTGTTAAGTAACTTATAATGTGGGGTTTTAACGTAATCCAATATATTTCCCTTCTCTTTTTTATCACCACGCATATCTGTTTCTTCTTCATTATGAAACGGTAATTTTTTCTCAACTCCGATGAGATCTAAATTTTTGGCACTTTGCTCAACGATATCAGTATTGTTCTCAATAATCGCAGTTGTTACTTTAGAGTTTGTAGTACCTAAGCATAAAAGAAAAAAGAAGAAATTATATATATTAATCTACTTAATATATATATACATATGTACATAATATGTATGTGTAGTTATTAAACCTTGTATGACTTTTACACGGACTTTAGTGATATACCAATTTACAAATCATCAATGGTTTTCAAAACTAACTACAAGGTGCATTCCAAAGTAAACAGTAAAAAAGTAAACTCTAGTGGCGCCAAAAGGCTTGCACCAGCATACTGGCAGCCATACCGGGCAACGAGCTAAAACACTCGTTCGACATGCTTTTGGACCGTGCAAAAAGCTGTATTAAAGCAGAAGGAGACTATTTTGAATAAAATTAATTGATTTTGCCGATAAAATTATTTGTTCTGTCTTTTTTTTAAGAGTCCTGTTAACTGTGGAACGCACCTTGTAAATAACTTACGACCGTACTCGTTGTGACTCAAAATATCCATAACTTGCTTATTTCAAATACAAACAGGTCCATTTTGTATAGGCAGTTGTGCATCTCTAATCTGAAACTTACTAGTATTGAAAAATATATAATATATTCATTCAATAACTGCTAGTTCTCAACTCATTCCAGAAAATCTTCCAAAATTTTACAAAAAGGTCTACATCTTCTCATCGCACATGCAATATTCAAATAATATATAAACATATATTACATATATCTATAACATATTAGGGGTATTCACACCAGCTTTGTTGATTCGTTAGCCGTTAATCGGTAGTTTTTTATGTGCATTTTGTTTTTGTAAAATTAACAGATTATCGTTCTACCGAGTACCAGTGTGACAAGCTTGATAATTTTTTCGTGGTAACATCAAATCAGCTGTTTGTTTTGCGTCATAGCCTAAAAATTCCATTTGCTTCATTGCGAAAAAAAGTATAAAAATAACAATTACAATACTTTCACACATGCCTCACCATATGTGCAATAAAAGACAAACAAATATTCCTTTGTATGTATTTATGTACTTATATATTAGAACGAAAATTCTAAGCATTCTTCCTCTAATTCTTCCTTTTCCATTAAAATTGAACAATATGGATAAATATCAATGTTTTCTAATGCGGGCAAAGGCGGTAATGATTCCAATGGTTGCAGTAAGGGAAATCCATCGAATGACCATTTGCTGTCACTATTAATTGACCTCTTAATTTAACATCAATTTGCTCTTTTTCTATAGATTTTAGTTGCTTAGATGAATTAGAAGATTTAATTTCACTATTTTCTGTGATATTTGCCTTACTCTTAGTATTCTTCTTTATAGTACCGCCTAATCCAGTGCATGAATTGTCAATAGGTTTCGAAATTGTAGACAAATCGGAAAGAATATTGCCTTTTTTTCTGTCATGATCTCCTTAATTTTAACGTTTTCGCAAATTCTAAGCATCATGCGAATAACAACAACGTACAACCAAACTCTTCTTCAGCAGCATATTATTATAGTGGAAAATACATATTCATGGTAAGAACGATGCTCAGGTCCAAGTACTGGTCAAGGATGTGTTTTTTGTATATGTATTTTTCTTTGGTTTTTATACTCTCGCAACTTGTTGCTACAGAGTATAATAGTTTTTTTCACCTAACGGTTGTTTGTATCACCTAAAACTAATCGAGTTAGATATAGGGTTATATATATGTTTCAATAAAAATATATGTGTTTTTGAAGTTATTTTCAGAATATCAGATGCGCATGCTAATAGCATTACAGTCGCCGAATTAGCGTATAAGCTAACGAAATTTTTTGAATTCTACTAATACAGAATAAGAAGAAAAAGTTTCCGCTCACTGCTTATTACATTAGTTTATTGTAGTTTCTACGCGTTTAAGACCTGATAATTTTTTGTGAGTTGTTGTCAATAATACAGATTTAGATAAGCGAAGGAAAAATCTGCAATTTGTGAGTAAATTTATCGAATTATTCAGCTTTAATCGAAATAAGTGCAAAAGGCAAAGAAATAAGTGTTGATGAGCGGAAAATAATATTAAAATTAAGGGAGGACGGTAAAAGCTTTCGTGAAATTAGACGAGTTGTCAACAGAATGTGATACGTCATCCAGATTAAAAAAAAAAAAAACGGGAATTATTACTTTAAAGCCTCGATCTGGACGTCCGACGGATCGGGAAACACGCAAAGTTGTATCTCTTGTAAAGGTTAATCCGCGTTTAACCGCTTCCCAAATAGCAGAAGATGTAAAAATACGATTTAAAAAAACAATATGCAGCAACAAGACACAGCAAGAATAATATAAAAAAGGGTTGGATATCATGGGCGAGTGGCACGCAAAAAGCCATTCATTTCCTTTAAAAAATCGTATGAAGCGCATGTTGTTGTTGTTGTTGTAGCGACAGAATTCTGCCGAGTTGACAGTCCTTGGCCGGAATAAATCCGGGTCCGTTCCGGTTACGTAGACCCGACTGTCGTGGGAACGGCAGCGCATTGCATTCGCAAACGAACCTACAACCAAGCCTATCCCTCGTCGGGATATGAGCAGAGAAAAAGCCGCCTCGAGTGGCCGCTGCGACGCAGTGATCCAAATTTTTAGGACTGCAGATGAAGGAGGAGAGAATTGTGGCGTGTCCTTGTTCGGACTTCTTCAAAAGCCCAGCTTCCCTGAGCCTAATAGCACACCTCGCAGCAATGCACCTACCGGCAATGTCCACAGGTGCTACATTTAATATAGCGTTGAGAGCTATCGTTGGTGTGGTTCGCAGTGCACCGGAGATTCCGAAAAGCGCCGCTCTTTGGACTCGCTCAAGCTTTCGAGCGCCTTTCACCAGACGAACACACCATAGAACAATATTGGCTTGATTACGGTTTCGTAGAGCCAGAGCACCAGATCGATATCTCAAAAACACTTATATACAGTCAGACGGACAGACAGACACGGCTAAATCGAGTTCATCACGCTTTCAATTACATATATACTTCATAGGATATCCGACGTTTTCTTCTGGGTGTTACAAACTTCGTATATCCTGTCCCATATAACATTCACCTATTTATGAAACATTTCGCCATAAAAAAACACAATTCACTATATTAGATTAAAGTATATTCCAACTCACACTGCTACTAATATGAACAGAACTGTACATAACTATACATATTTCGAAATATTTTTATATATAAATAGATATATTTTATTAATAAATGCATATGTTAATTTTATTAAATCCTGTAAGCAATATTAACTCAGGCAAATTCCCTGGTCCTCGTGTACTTCTCTACTTTTTTGCAAGTTTTGCAGCTCTCTGATACTATGTATCCAATTACTAAATAATTGAAAATTGGCTTTCATGTATGCAAGAAGTGAAATAGAAATTTCATGTAATATAATACATACCTTCAATTGTTGCTTTGAAATATATTTATCTAAATAATGTTTACTATATGTTATTTTATTTTTGATTAAATAAAATCAATTTGATATTACAGAGGATTAATTTATTTACAATTGCATTCTAAAATATATATGAACCTTTAAAATACTATTATGTCTCAATCATTGTCAAATAAAGTACGTAGACATATCACCGGATTATAGCGTACCTTAGGTAAAATGCGTATCTTACAAGAAATGATACTATCATTAACGCAAGTTGTATCGGAACCTACGAATACGCCCAATGGTTGATAAAGGATGTTTGTAAAGCGATTAAGAATGAAATCATTATTGACAAATTTACTGACTTAAAAATGTGTATTACCCGTTTATCTTTTTTGTTATGTGCAAAGAATATGAATATTTATCTAAACCAGCTTATCCAACTTCAACGTTGGTGAAATTTTATTTAGAAAATCAGGGGGAATATCAACAGTAACGCTCATGAAAAATTTACTGAATGGCAGTAACGGGTTTTATTTTGTGTTTACTTGAATGGAAACTTATTTCGATACGCATTAATCTAACATTTATTTTACGGTTCGGTGATTTGCATACAGGCGTATGCATTCCCAAAGATGATTGAAATTATGTAAATATTATTCATAATGGCAAACATGCCCATCAAGAACTGAATTAACCAGATAACTAATTTTTTTTAGAATACCGCTTGTCTATTACTGGTACAACTGTACTAAAAATTCATCACTCACCACCATTATCATTGTAGCAAGCATTATATATATAGAATATAATAACTACACACAAAATACAAATCAAACCGAAGACTAACTCTTATCTCTTACGTCGCTTAGTTTTCTTCTTTGTCGTACATGACGGTGGAACTACATTTATATTAGTTAAAGTTGTTTGCATTTCTGATGTGTTCGTTCCGAGGACTGGTAGATCTTGATCGGAACTAGCTTTTCGGTTCTCTATTTCCAAATTACTCTCTTCAGCAGATGATGTAGACGATGACGTTGCAGCATCAATCGCAGCCATAAGATTTATTTTATGTTCCAGTCTCTTTGTTTTCAGTTTCATTGGAACATTAATAGTTACAGTATTCGTTGGTAAAATGAAACCATTGTCATCTGAAGTAGTAGCAGGAACGGGCCCCTCACTATCGGTTGTTGTATTTGGAGATGCCCGTGCAATGATGACGTCAATTGGCTTTTGAGCATCTTTGTTGTTCAATCCAGACAAAGTACAGGAAATATTTTTATTACTTGTTGTTACAATTTCTGAATCAGATTTTATTTTTGTAATTAACGGACGTAACTCATCATCATCTTCGAAAGTGATTTCTTCCTTTTGTTTTTTTGTTTCTGTTTGTTGTCTTTTTCGCTTTTGTTTTTTACTTAACTTTTTCTCTTCGATAACAAGAATTTCCTCTGAAGTGGATGAATTTGCCGAACTTACAGATTTGTCATTTGTTGTTCCGGTGTTGGTAGTATTAGTTTCTTGGGAACTGTGTTCCGCACTTAAATATTGATCTTCACCGTCGTTGAGTAACTTATAATCAGGGGATGTTACATCTCCCATCTCTGAATCGAAAGCTTCTTGATATTCTTTAGACAATTTACTTTCGTCACAGATACTGTCATTTTCACAGTGCAATGATCCACATAAAGCGAAAATTAAATTTTGTTGGCTAAGAGCTTTTGGAAGTGAGAGTACTTTTCCATCTTGTCTCGGATTCTCCTGTAACGGGCTATCAAAATTAATCAAACTTAATTGTTCTGACAAATTATCTTTTGCTTTTGCAACTGATTTATTTTCCTTTTCCATTAAAATTGAACAATATGGATAAATATCAATGTTTTCTAATGCGGGCAAAGGCGGTAATGATTCCAATGGTTGCAGTGAGGGAAATCCATCGAATGACCATTTGCTGTCACTATTGGATTGACCTCTTAATTTAACATCAATTTGCTCTTTTTCTATAGATTTTAGTTGCTTAGATGAATCAGAAGATTTAATTTCACTATTTTCTGTGATATTTGCCTTACTCTTAGTATTCTTCTTTATAGTACCGCCTAATCCAGTGCATGAATTGTCAATAGGTTTCGAAATTGTAGACAAATCGGAAAGAATATTGCCTTTTTTTTCTGTCATGATCTCCTTAATTTTAACGTTTTTTTTAGTTTTACCGATTGTCCCCAAACTTGGGAAGTTATCGCTCGATTGCACTTTAGATTTTAGTTGGTTTTCACTACTTACAGTCTGCCATACTGAATTATTTGGTTTCGAAATTTGTGGACTTTCACAAATTTCAGAGTTTGACTGAACAAATGTCAATTTTCCATTTCCGTTATCTAAATGAGCGGAAATCGCGTAATTTTTGGATATTTCATTATCAGTTTTCTTTTTTAATGAGTTTTTTTCCTTCTTTGTAATATTCATAGTTACGTTTTGTTCAATTATATTATTACAACGTATACTAGCATCATTATAAGCTTCATTTCCTTTGTCAGATGCCTTTTCAATGATTTTACTAGGACTTCTAATTGTGTCTTTATTCTCATGTGTTTTGCTTGTACTTGCAGCCTCTATTGCAATGTCTAATTTTAACTCGGTCTCTTTACTTAATTTATCGCATTTAATATTGTTTTTGGACAAGGTTTTAAGATTACTGCTATTGTTTGCGGGTTCTCCGATTTGAGTATTAACGTTTGATGTATCTGGGTATTCAGTTGATTTCATAAGATTAGTTAAGATTACCTCCTTACCGATTTTATTTTCATCAATCTCGATAGAAAAATTGTCTGATATAGTTTGCTCAAGTTGTGCGTTATCCTTTACAGAACTTAGTTTTTTCGAGTTATTTTTTGTATCAGGGGATTTTAGGACCTTACTATTTGGTTCGCTTTCAATTTGAGATAAGTTGCCCTTAACAAGTTCTCTATCCCCTAAAATATTTGGTTTATTTCGAATCTTCACAATAGGTAAAGGTGTCATGCGTTTAAATTCTATGACATCTTCCTTAACTGATGATAAGCTTTTTAGGTTTTTTTTCATTTCGGATGTATTCGTGTTGTCACATAAATTTACGCTGTTCGTAGTGTTACATTTGTTCACGTTGTTTCCATGAACCAGTTCTACCATGTCTCCAAGTTCAGATCTCACGTGTTGCTGAATGTTCCCAGATTCACTGATTAGAACAGCAGTAGTTGGCTTATTACTTTCTGTCGAGCACAAATTTAATTTCTTCGTATTTTGAGTTTTTATTCTTCCACTTTTTTGGTTTCTCTCCCTTTTGCTTAACTCGGCATCTACTTCCTTCGCTATAACTGGCACTATAAGTTTATTTTTTATTAATTCAGGCGGTTTACAGAATTCTTCACTTTCTACAGTTTTTCCCGCTGTCTGATTAATATTCTCGTCACATAATATCGCCACAACGGGACGAAACAAAGACTCATCGCAATTTTCGTGTATAATACTCTCTTCAGCAGCTAATTGTGATACTACTTCATCCAGAATGTCTCTTTTTACGTCAGTTGAAATGCCTGAAAAAACTGTTGTTACCGTCCCAAGAGGATTAACTACTTTTTCTACTGAAGGTGTAGACGATTTTTGAATCTCAGAAATTTTCTTATTTTCATCACAACATAGTTGAACTTTTTTATATTGGTCGGAATCGACATCAGAAACCAAATTCCAAGTACCCATTGCAGTCAGTGTTTCTGACGTCGAGGTGAGAGAGGGGGAATATGAAACCATGGCTTTCAGGCTGTTATCAGAATCGTCTTCACCAATGTCTGGCTCTGCGCGGGCATCGTAGAAGGGGACATTATCAGACGAAGCAACCCCAGACGCTAATCGACCTTCAATAAAAATACAGAGAAAGAGAAGAAAACAAAAGATATTGTGAGAAAGAAGCATTAACAAAAAGCCAAAAGCATTTTTCTTTATAAATGAATGTTCGCAGTGCTGTGGAATCTATTCTTATTTAGACCCGTTATCCCTTGTTAAATCAAACTAATCGTCATATAAAAAAATTATCCTTAGTTTTTTAATGCTCTGAGAAAATAGCAAAGGTTGTTACGAAATAGTTCATTTAAATTTAGTAAACTGCTGTGCAACTATGAAACTCAACAAAAGCATAGCAATGCAACATAAAACATTGTAACTTAACGTAATGAAAAACAAAAGCATTTTACAATATTGTTTCGACCAAACTAAATATATTTTATTATTTATATGGAGATGTATTATAAATGATAATGTAAGCAGTTATTACGAAACTAATTTTTATAAAAATTAAGTAATCCATGCTAAATTATTTAAGATAATATCGGTTTTATTATTAAAATAAAATCAAAATTGTCCACTTCTTTTGGAAATAATTGTTGCTTAATCCCCAATACCTGCCTTTGGCTTTTTCTAAATCTATTCTTCTCTCGTCTTCTCTTTCAATGTTTTTTTATATATCAATGCGTTCCCAACATCTTCAACATTTGAAAGTTAAAAATGTGAATTTAATGAAGAGTATACTGATTATTAAGTCAAGATCTATCAGCAATCGAGAAATATCAGCAAAAAAAATTAAGTATTAATACATACATACATAACAGGTAAAATTATAGTTACTTCTATAGTCCTAAATATTCTGAATTATTCATAAATATATTTTTAATCCCTGAATTTCGTCAGATTTGTATGAGTTTGATTGGGGTATTTACATTGTTTTTATAATTCAATTATATTAGTTGATGCACTAGGCTCAAACTACCGACAGTTGGCAATGAGCATAGAGTGTGAAATATTAAGTAAAATTTTTTAATCAGTTCATGTGACTTGCAGCAATAATAAATATACGTATTAATACATTATTATAACCGATATTGGTGTGGGAAGCATTAGAAGGCGAAAAAAATAAATTTCGGCGTTTAATTATATTTTAGTTATATTTTCATACTAAATGGAATATATTACAACATTGACGATAACAAACATTTTATAACACACATGTGAATAGAATAATGAACTTTCATTATCAGAAACAGTTCTTATCACAGCATCTTCTTTATATTTTTATCGATAGGGATTAAATAAATTCGTATTGATTGATTGGTATCTCCAAGTAATTGGTAAAGCAAAACAATTATAACTACCATATAACTATTTATATATATTTTTTCACATTTTTAAAGAATTATGAATTAAGATATTCAATCAATAACTAATAAAATGTGTCATAGTATAAAAATTTGAACTAGACATATCAGCCTGTATTTTAAATATATATAGCCGTAACTCCATTTCCATGTTCTTTCAATATGATACAATATATGCATAAAATCATTTATTGGCTCATCGAATATCTTCTCATAAGAAATCATCATCCGATGGAGTGAAGTACTAAGAATAGAACAAAACGAATAAAACCAAAAACGCCACGAAATAGGAGAAATTTCTACCAAAACATCTAGAAAGATGTAAGCATAAATTGCGCATTAATATAATGCATTCTCCCAAACTGTTCACAGTTATGACATTTTTGTTATACATTTACTTATGTATATGAAAGTGAACAAGGGTTTTAAGACGAAATTTACAAAAGGTTTGTGATTACTACACAACTAATATAATGACCATCGTTATAATTGGATATTGGCAACCTTAAATCAGTAGTTGGAAAGTGTGGAACAAAATATCGGAACCATGCACCACCGCCCAAACTAAAAAAAAAAACTTTAAATTTACTTACATGTATTTTTTCGATCATCCGACACAGATGGTGATTCCCGCATAGCATCGGCCAAGTCCTCCTTCAATCGAGAATCACCATGCGCCATTGCAAAATCAGAATCCAAATGCTCGTGACGAAAACGATCCATCAGCTTTGGACTTTGTTCTACACTACCTAACATGAAAAAGTAAGTCATCAAAAAATTTAATTGAGAATTCTTTAATATGTACTTACTATATGAACCCGATTCAATGAGTACCGGCAAAGAGCATCGTGCTGCAGCCGTTACTGGCATACTTAATGGATGTGAACGAATAGCCGATGCTGAATTTGCTGACTTCGATACCCCTATTTCAACAGCCTCAACATCAACATGGTTCAAATTGGAGCTAAATTAGAAAGTGCTTATATTATTAGCTTAGCTGATTTTAGTTTGATATTAATTACAAATACTAACCCGCTGGGAGTGTTATACGTTTTGAATACACATTGAGGCCCCATCCAAAGACGGCGATGTGGACCGGCGTGTGTAATTATTTCTACTTGAGATACCCAACTTTCAGTTTTTTCCTCCAATTCATCATACTGACGTATGCTATCCAGCAAACATAAGTTTCTATCCTTTATAAGCCAATTATCATTTTCTAACGGTGGTGCCAACTCATGAGATCCATCCCTTCGCCTACCAAGATTCCATTGTGCTTTAGCTTCCACTTCCAATTCAATTGGAGTATCATCACAAATTTTATCTTTGGCAATATCTATATCATATTAAATAACAAAACATTATTGATATTACATAATTTCTAGGTTAGCAAATAGTATTTATTTATTACTTGATGCAAGTTTAGTGTCCAAATCGTATTGTATAAGAGCACCGTGGCCAGCCATTACGAAAAGTGAATCAACAGATTTACGCTGCACACGATGTGAAGCTTCTCGAGTGACATTTGGCGGTTCAAGTAACCAAGATCGCGATTTCGCGAAAATAGCACACACGCTCAAAGGTTTTCCATTATCATCAGATAGGGAAGAATGCCTTTGACGTTGGGAAGCAGCTGATATGCCACTATTACCTACACCGATTTTACCCGGCATGACAAGTCCTGCAGATCCAGGGGGTGATCCGAGTGCAAACGGTTGTCGAAGTTGAGCTAAAGCTTGCACAATTGTGGGACGTGGAAATGGTGGTAGAGTTGTGTTATAGTAAGGTTGCAGGGATTGCATAAAAGTGGTACTTTCTGAATGTGATATTGGAGAATTTGAACGGCCTTCTGCAGATAAGCCCGCCGAACGATGAAATCGTGACAACTTATTAACAACATGCAGAGATGTATGTGTTCGCACTCCCATTGGCCCACCGTAAGGTGTAATTGGAAATACATGAGTAGTTCCTCTTAATGTCGACACCGCTACCCAACGTGAATCTAGTGAAAATGTGATGTTTTGGACCTTTGCACTAGTGTCGCCCCTATGTAATACATATAAATGATGTACCGCTGAAAGACTAGGGCTAGCGGGATGTGGCTGTATACGGAAAACGTTAAAATCATGACCGCGACGATCGGCGGTAAGTAATAGCATGCCTGAATTATCAAACTCCATTGCAACAATAGCTTCTGCGTGAGCGACAAAATGTGCAATAATAGGCTCCTCACCAACACCGCCAGTAGTAGATGTCATTGAGGTGGGGCTGTAATCTTTAATAGTCCTCTGAAAAAAGAAGACAACAAGTAAAATTACAATACACAATTACAATAAACCACTTGTATATAATGTTAACCTCTATATCCATTATCGTAACAATCCCAGATTGTTTAGCTTCAACGCCAGTAATGGAATCGAAACTGCTATTTTTTGATATACTGCCACCACTTGACGTTCCAGTCAAACCTGCTGCCACTTGTTCACCAAGTTCTCGCAACCCTTTTCCAAACGACTTTGCAGCATTTAATACAGTTGCTGTGTAACTAGCTACACCCTCACCATCCCAGCCTCCCCCGCTACGCTTTGAGGGTATCAGCCTTTGCTCAGCATAGGCCAGCCAGCGTTGACCAAGAGCAACAGGATTTGGATTGATCCTTTAAAGGTAACAATTAACATTTTATAATTTCATTATTTAATTACAATATTAACTATAACAACACATAAATACTTGTACATACCTAAGTGTTATGCTAGGAACAATGATATACAATACATCACATTTTACTTACCCAGGACTTGGATAACATGTAGTTATTGAAAGTCGATCCTCCAAAGTACGGGCATCGAAAACAGCTATACGTTCATGAAATACAATAACAATGGAAGAACGATTGGCAAGTACGTCCAAAATTACGTTTTTAAATTTAATCGTCTTCACTTGCTTTCCAGTTTTAAGGGAAACAAAATTTATTGTACAGAACTGAAGCTGTGAGGAAGCCGTACTACTGTCCACTAATGCAATAATAGGGCGTTTTTCAGCATACATATCTATCGACTCATCAGCTCGTCCATGTTCATTCGCAGATCGCACTAATGTCGGCGTTGGTAGGACTCGTAAAGTTGACACAACACCATGACGCCATGAAAGAACTTCAATAGCCTCACCGTTAGCAGGTATAGCCCATACTTGAACTCCAAGACCGTAGCCTAATAGTAGAAGTAATGGTGGTGCTGCACTTCCCTCCATTTCCCAATCTATACCAAAACATGGATCGCTTATATCAGCAGCCGTCTCAAACCGTGCCCAAATAATTGTATCTTTGGGTTCAGTATGTGACTGATGTGCCACTAGTGTAACATCGCTGATGAACCCAAACGCAGAGTCTAAAATTGAACGATCGCTTACAACTTGGGGAGGCACAACTGCAGGTGCGGCTATGCCACGCGATTGTCGCCGTGGTGAATCTGCAGACATCTTCCACTCAAAACTCTCAGCAAACCAGTGCTAAAAGCAGCACTATACTCCAAGGGAGCTATTTATGCAATAACAATCTGGTAATAATTTATTTCCTGAATACAATATTCCTCTTTCTGAAAAAACAATATGACACTAATTTATTATTTCATATATATACATATATTCATCTCAGGCATTTACTTAAAAAAATTGCATATAATTTCAATTTATTAATTTTATACCCTAACAAGTAAGGAAGGGCTAAAGTCGGATGTAACCGAACATTTCATACTCTCGCAAAGTCAAATGGTATATTAGTTTGAGATTTCTTTGTGGATTGACTGATATTTTCGGTAGAAGGTCAACTATAGGCACTGGGGTCCACATATTTAGTACTTAGGGTCTTGAACAGTTTTGCTTCGATTTATACAATTTTTGGTCACAAGGTGGCATACTTTAAACGTATTATTCACGCAAAGTTGTACCCCGATATAATCAATCTTGCTTGATACGCATAGTGGAAAGTGAAAGAATAAGATGGAATTGAAAATGGTATTATATGGGAAATAGGCGTGGTTGTAGTCCGATTTCCATTTTCGCACTGTAACATAGAAATATGAAAAGAACGTTATGCACCAAATTTGGTTGAAATCGGTTAAGCAGATCCCAATATATGGGTTTTCGCCTAAAAGTGGGCGGTGCCACGCCCACTGACTAATTTTGAACGCGGTTCCTATAAAGTCATCTCATACCATTCCAGAGATAAAATTTAATGTCTCTGGCGTGTTTAGTGCTTGGTTTATAGCGCTTTTAGTATTTTTTAACAGTACCGTTATATGGGGAGTGGGCGGGCTTGTCACCCGATATCACAAATTTTCACACCGTCAATAGAGATGCTAAAAACATTTGCTCCCAGTGAATTTGGTTAGTATAGCATTATCGGTTTAGGAGATATACACATTAAACTTATTAGGGACGAGACCACGCCCACTTAAAAAAAAAATTTTAACTGCAGATGCCCCTCCCTATTGTGATCCTGTATACCAAATAAGAGTCTTGTATCTTGTTGTGGAGCTTAGTTATGGCAATTTATTTGTTTTTGAATAATGGCGTTTTGTGGGCGTGGCAGTGGTCCGATTACGCCCATCTGCAATACCAACCGTCTCACGGTACCAAGAAACATGTCTACCAAGTTTCATAAAGATATCTCAATTTTTACTCAAGTTAGAGCTTGCACGGACGGACGGACGGACAGACAGTCACCCGGATTTAAACTCGTCTCTTCATCCTGATCATTTATATATATATAACCTTATATCTAACTCGATTAGTTTTAGGTGATACAAACAACCGTTAGGTGAACAAAACTATTATACTCTGTAGCAACAGGTTGCGAGAGTATAGAAAGAGTATGTTAAGTTTGACATAAAATTTGTAACACTCAAAAGAAAATGTCGGATACCCAATAAAGTACAAGTACATACATATATAAATGATTAGTATGATGAACTGAATCGATTTAGTTATGTCCGTCTCTCTGTATATACGCTAAGTAACTAGTCCCTCAGTTTTTGAGATATCGAAAATTTTGAACACGTCCATTACGCTTTAAGAAACTGATCATTTGTCGGAACTACCGATATCAGACCACTAATAGATATCGGTGTCATACAAGCTAGTCTCCGAACAAATTGTTCAGATCGAACCACTATAGCATATAGCTGTACTACAAAGTGATTTTTTCATAGATTCGGTGCAACCGAAATTCCCGTTTATTATTGCATTTAAGGGGTTATTGTATCCACTTGTGTATTTCAAGAAAATTATTTTTTTTTGCATATACCATATATCGAATTTGAGAATATTCTCCGAATTTGAATTTGAAGTTGATCTAGCAGATACTTTCGGAGACATGGGTGTATTTGTGAGAAATTATTAAATTTACCCCGTTCCGGTTATAACCAATTATTACATCTTGTTTAAAAATGAACATGTGCGTTAGGACTACAAGGGCCCCACTTAGACGGCGTGCAGCAATAAATTTAGTTTTATTATTTTACATATTAAGATAAGAAACATGTTAGAATGTACAGTCTACTAATCCTAAATATGTATGCTCAAATATATTTAACAGGCATACATACGTACATAAGCAAACACATAAACAAATATACACTCATATGATAACTTGTAGACCTAAGATATATATTTAGGCAATTGATTACAAGTGCACATATGCACTTAAAAACAATCCCATAACATATAGCATAAACAATGTGCTACATATATACGGACATACACACACACACATGTATTGAGTTGTACTTAAAAACAACCCTTTGTGGTGTGCATGCCACATACACACATACATATTTATACATTTATTTAGATAGTAAGATTTGTAAATAGTATATAAGCGATACATTTAATAAAATTAAATTTGAATGAATAAATTCTCAGCTCAATGAAGTCTTCTTCTGTCCCCCACCAGCGGTAAGACAATTAGAAAATTTATTGCGTTTAAATATTTGGTCTTACAAACCAATTATACACATCTATTAGGTAGCTATTTCTATAAAATCCTGTTGCGTATGCGTATGGAAATGTTTAAACAGATGGGCTGAAGATTTTATTACTCAATAAACCGGCTTATTATTTAAGGACTAAATCGCATGCTGGATTCAGATCCGGAACGATTTGACTGACGTTTTTCTTTAATGTCCTTAAAGTGTCAGATATCTCAATCAACTTCGTTTTAAATTATTTTTTATTATCCATTATATCGTCCACGGATTAACACAATGTGACTCGGTGCTAAAATGAATTTATCACGAATATCAATTTAGTAAGAACATTATAAATTAATACTACACCAAAAATTAGTGAAATTGGTTCACGATTTATAAATGGCCTTTTTATACCCTGAACAGGGTATATTGAGTTTGCCACGAAGTTTGTAACACCCAGAAGGAAACGTCGGAGACCATATAAAGTATATATATAAATGATCACCGTGACGAGCTGAGTTGATTTAGCCATGTCCGTCCGTCCGTCTGTCCGTCTGTATATACGCAAACTAGTCCCTCAGTTTTTGAGATATCGATCTGAACAAGTCTTTTTCTTACCAAGAAGCTGCTCATTTGTCGGAACGGCCGATATCGGACCACTATAGCATATAGCTGCCATACAAACTGAACAATCGGAATCAAGTGTTTGTATGGAAAACTCTTTCATTTGACGAGGTATCTTCATGAAATTTGGCGTGTATTATTATTTAAAGCATTCATCTAATCTCCGAAAAAATTGTATAGATCGGATGACTATAGCATATAGCTGCCATATTAACTGAACGACCGGAGTAAAGTGCTTGCATGGAAAACATTTTTTTTGACGAGGTATCTTCACGAAATTAGGCACGAGTTATTGGTTAAGGCAACAAATTATTCTCCACAGAAATTGGTCAGATCAGATCACTATATCATATAGCTGCCATACAAATTGAACGTTCGGAATCACGTTCTTGTAAGGGGCCTTTGTATTTGTGAAGGGTATTATAGCTTCGGCGTAACCGAAGTTAACGTTTTTTCTTGTTTATTTCTTTATTTAAATCTTTGATTATTTTCATATTCTGCATTTATATTTTAATTTACACCCTCTCTGAAAGTAAGTGCAACTGTTTTTTATGGTTTTATCATAACTGATCGCCTTAAGCTAAACAGCATATTTTCTGAAATTAATGACACCAAAAATCGTGTTAGTTATTATAGTACGAAATTGTGTTGATATACATATTTGAAAATTATCAACTCTGCTTCCATTTCTGTCCATCAACATATTTATGCACTTTATTTCGTGCTTCCTATTCATTTTTTGTAAGACAGGAGCAATATAAAACATTGGCGACTTTGTCAATTAACAGCAAATCTAACTTTGGGTTCATAGAATGACGGAGTTTCTACATTTTGTTGTACACACCAAGTACGTATAAGCATGTTCAGCAGCTGAAATAGGATTATAGTTGAATTTATCAGGAGCGGTAGAATAAAAAAAAATACACAAAAATCCTGCTCACTCTTGATAGAAGAGACTGTAGGAACATGATTGGAAAACTCACTGGTCAGTCTGGTGGCGCCATACGCCTGCAGAGTCTATTGAAATTCACGTCAAGCGGAAGGATGCCTACTTCTTTTAAAATACGTAACGGCACTCCATCTGGCATCGCTAAGAAACAAATCTGGTCTATGCGTGGCACACAAGCCTACCATATTAACCTAACCTAAAACAAGTAAGGAAGGGCAAAGTTCGGGTTTAACCGAACATTTTATACTCTTGTAACTTGCTAGGATCAAAGCCGGGAAAATATCTTTAGGTGTTGGCAAAATTCATATTGAAACATGTTGGAAAGAATTTGACGAAATCGAAAATTAATTACAATCAAATTTGGTATTTTATTAAGTTACATATATAGTCATAGACTCAGTTTTATATGTTAATTGTATTTTACTTCCAGTCAGCGAAAATTATATTAAAATCACCCTTAAAATGAGATATATATGACATAAACTTAACCGAAGCGACTAAATTTAATATATTGAGTTGATGTGCAAAACAAAGACCAATTTCTATACCAACTCCATTCATGTTCAGCGCTAAACTACTAACATAATAATGGAACTTATTATATGTAGTATAATATAATTTCAGATATTTTCGGCATTAAACTAAAGTAAATCCATAATTATACGTTCAACTAATTTTGCAAAGATATCTTACATATTGACCGATATATAGGGTATAAGGTCACCAGGAAGTTTGAAAATATTTTATTAGGTATATGAGAGACAGGTGTAGAATTGGACTGATTTTATTTATTTTTGGCGTTACAACATATTATTAACTGAACAGATGCTCTCTGAATTTCATTAAGGTACAAGGAGTAAAGTCAACCAGATGTATGAAAATCCTGATGTTAGTTATATGGGGCTAGGGCAAGTTTTCACCCGATTTTATTCATTTTCGGCAGAGAGAAACACCGTTAGGCGTTAGGGTAAAAACACCCAATCACTTCATCAATTTAATTAGGATAAATAACATATTGGCCGATATATGGGGTATAAAGTCAACCGAAAGTTCAAAAATCTTAATTTTGTTTTAAACACATATTTTTAATATATGTATACATATTATTATCAGGAAAGGATTTTCTCCTATGTTCAATTATATAATATATCTATCACATTGACCGATATTTTCGCTAAAAAGTCAGCCATAGACTCTGGGTTTCACATTTCCGACGTCTGGGGACTTGAATAGTTATGGTCCGATTTTCACAATTTTTAGATCTGAGATCGGCATACCTAAAAGGCGCGATTCGTGCAAAGATGTATCCCTATATATTGCTACTTCATTTGTATACTGAAAAGTGAAAAAATCAGATGGAATATAAAGTTTGTTATATGGGAAGTAGGCGTGGTTGCAGTCCGATTTCGCACTGTAACATGGGAACGCCAATACAACCCTATATACCAAATTTGGTAGAAATTGGTCGAGTAGGTCGGGAGATATGTGATTTCACCTAAATGTAGGCGGTGCCAATAACTCTCTCTTACACCGTCCTGTATGTAAAATTAAAAGTATGTGACGCATTTAGTTAATGATGTATCGCACTTTTAGTAGTTTTTAACAAAACCGTTATTTAGGGAGTGGGCGTGGTTATGATCCGATTTCACCTTTTTTTACGCTGTCGCAAGAGATGTCGTAATGATTTGTCCTGTGAAAATTTGGGTTATATAGCTTGAATGGTTTGGGAGATATATACGTTAAGCATATTAGGGGGCACGCCAATTTTTTAAAGATTTTCAAACCAAAGGAGCCCCTCCTTAATATGATTCGTTGTGCCAAATTTAAGTTATGTATCTTAGTTTACGGCTTAGTTAAGACACTTTATACGTTTTCGATTTTGATTACGCCCATCTACGGACTCGTCCTGACTTTTTTGCCAAGGAACATGTGAATATGTTCATACGTACAAATACATACTTGTAAAACATAATGTATTTTTTCAAATTTACCTTTAAAGAATTTATATGGATAGAAGGAAATAGTCCTTAAAAAACCTGAAACTGCATTCAACTAACATATCACATAAATAAATGGTTCTTTAATGTTTAACCCTCCTAATTTTATTTAAAATGCACTATTTGCAACCGAATTACAAGATATATATAATACTAAAAGACTTGGCCACGCGTTGCCGCGGCTAAGACATACAATACATTAGAACATATTATAATAAACGATTCAATACAGTGAAAATATTGTTTACGAATAAAGGCGAAAACGTCATTTCTGTTAAAAGAATCCACGGGATTAAAATGTATTTATTTAATTACTTAAGACTATGAACATTAATTCTTACCGACTAATATAAAATTATAGCATAATAAAACAGGGGCATCAATTATTCCGCAGCTTTGTTTTCCCCTCTCTTAGGAAAAACTTAAAAAGGGCGCAGCTCGATGCCAGAAGGCCATACTGAAGAAGAAAAAACGACATTAGAAAACGATGGGGACACACATACATAGCTTAAAATTTACCCATTTAAGATCAGTAATATGAGTATCTTTTTTAATAAGTTTATAACACAAAAGATGTTGCCTATCAACATTAGCATGTATAACAATGAGAGATATAATCTCTTCCTCAGTAACAGAGTTCTTAAAGCAGGCAACTGAATCCATTTCATGGATATGACGACATCGAGATTAAAATAGCCATTAACCTCAACAACAGTTGAAGCAGACGGGGGTTTTTTGTTCCTAGTGCAGAGGATTTGCCGTTGTCAGAAAATATGCGGTGAACATTGCAGATCTCTGACTTTAGTTTCTCCTACAGCTACAGCACGAACTTTGCAATAAAATGCCTAATTAGATTTAAGCAAAATATCTACATCAGTCTGTGATAAACTTGACACTCTACCCCACTAAATCCAGTAAACATATTCACTACCTGGAAGAAGGTGTACAGACTGGATCTTAATATCACAGTCGATGGCGTTAAAATTCAGTCTGTGAACAACCCTAAAATTTTAGGTGTTACGCTTGCCCGTCTGTGCTCCTTCACTCCTCACACGACCACGATTATTGCCAAAGTACAGAACCGCAACAAAATCCTCAAGTCGCTAGTCAGCAGCTCCAAGGGAAAGGACAAAATAATATTGTTGGCAACATACAAGGCAATTGGCCGGCCGTTTATAAGTTACATTGCATCGATATGGTCGCCTGAATATAGTGAAACGCAGACGAAGAAGCTTCAGACGTGTCAAAATACAGCACTCCGTACCACAGGGTTCCTCTTGACGTCTCCTGTTGAACACCTGCACAGTAAAGCCTGCATGCTTTAGGTCAAGAAACACAGTGCACTCCTCTTCAAGCAGTTTCTGCTGGGTGTTTTTTCGCAGAAACCACCCCTGCAAAAAATTTTAAAAAAATTGCAACCCTGGTGATATTGAAATTATTAATCTGACTAGACAAAACTAAAAACAAGCGTATCTAAAGGTAGGAAACCCATCCGTATGATTTTCAAGTATCCAAAGTCCTACTGCTTATGATAAAAAAAATATTATGGTGAGTTGCAGACATAGCACTTTTGATATGATAATCTACAAACAGCACCTAAAAAATTGCACTGAAACCGATGCAAATCGCGTCTAGTGGGCAATCACAATTGCGGAATTACGAAGTTTTATATGAAGCGAAATCGTTTGAAGCTTTCTATCTATGGTCTATGAAATAGACTTTACCTTTTTCAATGAGAAGAGGTAAATTTACAGAAATTTTATACCCATACGCTTCAATAAAAAAATCAACGATCCGAAAGATTGCAAACAGATAAATTTTATCTGATAATCGAAGTAAGAAAAAAACCTATACGTAACAGCTACAATATAGAAAACATCTATTATAATCTGCTTTTGAAATAATATATAGTTTAGTATAGTTATATATAATATAAGTGTAAAAAATGTGATTCAGATTTTCCCCGTTTCTCCTTATACAACGTAATATTGTACAATATAGATTAACAAACATTTTACTTTGAATATGTATATATTTTTTTTTAAAAGCTTGCATTATTGATTCATATAGACAAAAGGGATTAATTTTATTAGTAACAATATTGGAACTATGAAGAGCTTTGACTTAACATCTTAACTTCAAATGAAATTCTCATATTACGTATGGAAGTCAATTCTTATATCAATAACACAGCCAACATTTGAAAGATTATTCAACGATTTTTTTTTTGCCAATTTAAATCGTTTGCAAGCTTAAAGATCATTCAGCAGTATATCTTTACGAAGTAAATGCGATTGGATTCAAAAGCTTACAGGTCCATTTCTCATCAAACTTTGCCTTTTGAGTACTTCGGTTACAAATGCTGGCTGGGATGCATAAACTGCAAATGTAATATGCAGGGTAAAAAAAGTACAAAACAATATTACTTTTTTATATGGTAAATATTTCAATTATTCCTGAAACTTCGAAAAGTGTAAAGGCTTTAGAGGCAGAAAATTAATCTTATATTTTAGATTGCCTAAAAGGGTTGAAACAAAAAATTGTACCTAAGTATGTTAAATTGTAAAGAAATCACTAAATTAATGTGTCAATATGACGATAGTACATCTCAATATTGTAGTCGTCATTTTTACATGTGTGTACATAAGTATATTTAACTAAGTACATATGTTGGTATGTATCAAACTAGACAACATCAACTAGACAAAGTGAACTAAACCACTTATTTATACAAAGTGAACTTAGTACGGGAGTACATAAGAATTAGTCTGCTTTAATAGTATTTTATACAAACTTATTTACTATTTTTCAGATGGATCTAAAAGAATCTTTTGTTTACCACATAATCTTAACTGCGACATTGTTTCAAGATATTTAGTTATTTCTTACCAAAAAGCGATTACTCACCTTATGAAATTAGTCAATATATTGGTTTGGAATTCCAACTGAATTTAACACTATTATCATGAAATGAAAAAATCAAAATTTCTCGTATTTGTTTGCGTTTAATTCAGATGTTGTGCACAAACAAAGAAAAATTACGAAATCGAATATTTCTTGCTCTATACACTGTTCGTCATTTCCTTTGTTTGTATTTGCGATTCTCTTCTCTACTCCTAGATAAAGCATTAAGCACTTTTGAATTCGTTTTGAATTGATATGGCCAGAATATATTTTTAATTTTTATTTTAAATTACTATACATTTTTTTTCTCGCATCAATGGATAGTATATATTGCTTTAAGCTGAACGCAGGTTGACAAATAAAGTATATACAGTGTACATAAATTTAAAAAGCTTATTTGCTTTGAGGGACATACTTGCTATGAATAGATGCACAATAGTAGAGGAATTCGTTGTAAATGGAATACGGAATATTAAAACACATTTGATTCTTCACTTAAACATATTTTTAAAAAATTGTGATTGAACATGTGAATTTATTCCTTCTCTTACTTTCCCAGATCGTTATTCTCATTTGCCATAAATTAGTTTTTGCAGTATATCAATATTTTATCTGGCAGCACATATAATAACGAAAAACATAAAAACATAGAGCAAAAAACAAATGAAGCTACAAAAACAGGATATAACAGAGTATAAAATAATACTCAAAAAATTATGACGCAGTTAAATACTACCAACTAACAATCAAATAAACACACCAATATATTTTCATCTAAATTAATTACCTCTTCACTGAAAATGGTTTTCTGCTTCCACCTCTATAAATTAACACAGCATCAATGCTTGCTACTTGACTTTGTTTGGTACAACTAAATTGACTGAATATTGTTATTATATTATATTCAAATGACAAAAAAAAAGTGGCCTTATTTACATGTATATTATATATACCAAAATGGTTTTTATACGCCGCGTTTACACAAGCATTAATTATTGCCAACTAGCTTTTGAATTATATTGCCATATAAAATTGTTATCATATCAAACCGTTTCGATAGATAACTGAAAGCGTGAGCGCAGAAAGGCCTTTAAGGGCGTTTATCACACAATTGAGGAATGTGGCTGCAGATGACCTAACTCTTTAATTCTTAGATACCGTGTTTGATCTAACTATCGTTTGCTCTGTATCGCTGTGAAGGAGTTATTGACGAAAGATGAAGTCTATTACCAAAAGTTGATATTTAATTTAAACCATAAATTAACCTACTATGTGCTATGGAGATTTTTCGTGAAGTATAGCTTTGGATAACCACACCTGTACAAAAAAATTTAGAGGGTTCAACACACTGTACGCTACGAACAACTCCAGCTATGGCACTTAATGCAGAATGCCATAAACTTTTCAAAATAATAAACCTTAAATATTCTATCATTATTCTAGGTACCTAAGAAATCTATACATGATGCACGAAATAAAAAATTTTAAATTTATACAAAATTTGTGGCATAATATAATTCCATCGCTAATAGTCGATAATTCGACTATAATCCGGTGAGTTAAAACTGAATGAAGATATTGTGGCGAACACGAATTCCAGAACAAATCAAAATCGACGATAAACTGCCAGAAGCAACTAGACAGCGAATTCGTAGTTGCCAGAATGTTCTAGTAGCGAACTTGTGTTAAAAATATACTATATAAGGGCTGCCGGTTTGTGCAGCAAAGACAGTTCTAATTAGAGTGTTGCCGTGTAAAAAGCAGTTAAGCTATAAGCAATAAGTTGTAAACTCGAATATCGAACAATAAATGTTAAGTTGTTGGAAATAAAAGTAAAGATAAGTGTATAGCCATTAAATTGGGACTTTAATTTAACAATCCAGTGATCGAACTCAAGAGTGAGTTACAGGTACACGATATTGTAACGGATTTCTCGACACCTTGTAACTCACTCTTCAGTTCGATCATTAATCTAACAAACATTCTGGCAACTATGAATTCACTGTCTAGTTGATTCTGGGATTTTATCGTCGATTCGATTTTGTTCTACCATCCGTGTTCGTCATAATATAAATGATTGTGCACAGTTTTGGATATTTGGCAATTTTAAAGATCATTTATGGCGGACAAATTACCGGCTACACTTCAGGCTAAACCCTTCCCAGGTAACGATTAGCAACAAACAAGTTCAAAATATTCAAACAATATGGCCTCAAATATAATTTGGCGAACTGGTTTTGTACTCAGGATCACTTACTCCGGGTTGGAATGATCCACCTATTTTGAATAACATAACTCAACCACCTGGACGAACTCGATTGAATCTCAATAAAAGAGTAGCATTTCCGGTAAATTCCACATCTAGTTCCATATCTGTGGATAGTTCAACAGTGTCGACAAGTTTGGGGCAATGCAAATTATCGGATGTAGGCTCTCTACCACCTAATTCAGCAGGAAAACCAACGGTAAATATTCAAGGATTTAATGCACAATTGATAAAAACTTCCAGATGATACACCCTAACAAGTGTATGCTGTAGAAAGTAGTCTATTGAAACGCGAAGCTAGCAAGCTAAAAATGTTTTTTTTTTGTTTTTTAATTTCAGGAATAAATAATAAATATCTGTATGAAGACCATTGTGTTTTATGTGCTATCAAATGGTCAAAATAAATACATGTTATTTACGAGGAGGCTTTATTATAAACCCAATATAGAAGAGCTAAATTCGTCTACAGTCGCAACCACGACAGTTGTTGTAGCGGCAGAAAATGTTTCTGAACTAATTTCGAGGAATGGTGCCGAGTTGACAGTCCTTGGCCTAACTTACAACTGCAATAGATGGACTATTCAATATTCTGCAGATTCATGCCAACCATCTACGGTTCCAAAAAATTAATTTCCTAAGGCCCTTGGAACATTCCTTGTCGCGGATTTTAAAATTGTGACTCCCACTCTAGTTTTACTTGACGGACCCATAGCGCCCAAATTTAAACTGATATACCCCTGCTCAGAGAAACAATAGTTACAGAACCCTACCTTGTGAGTTCCAGGCTGCAAGTCAAGGACCTCCTCCCAGCCTATTATTGTATTGCTACATACAAATAGGTCTTCACTATTGTAATATAAGAATTTTTGAAATAGGATTATGAGGGAAAGGATCAATAATTTATTAAATCAACAAATAAAAAGTATCATTGGACTAGGGGTATTGTAATAGATGTAGGTTGTTTTCTGGAATAAAGGCACTGAGCGAACCACTATAGACTACCACTTCGTTGTGCAGAGTTGACGAGCTGGACGATGAGGTTGCAAGGACTGTTCAAAACATAGTTCTTGGTAGTTTTCGTAGTTTTCAGTAGACGATAGCATCTTAACGAGAAATCCACTAGCGCAAATTCAAAACAACTGTTGATGTCAAACAGGCCATTCACGACTTTAAAGAAAAATATAAAATCAGCTACCTGACGACGTGCTTGCAGGTTATTGATATTGAAATGGTCGTAGATGTTGTTTATTGAGCTATGACCTCCAGACCATAACGGTAACTCAAACACTTACAGAGTTTCATTTGTATTTTTTCGATGATACGGCTACGGACTTATTAGTGTTCAAATCTAGTTTGTTTTTGTGACCGCAGGTTGATAGTTTGTCGATACCACTCTGGAGATCATGTATTTCTTGTTCCCTAGTTATCGTTCTGAAGATCTTCAAATCGTCTGCATAATGCATATATTCAGACAGGAAGCTATCACCAACATCGTTAATAAAAATATTAAAGAGAGTTGGACCCAGGTGTGATCCTTGGGGCACTCCTGAGGTCACATCGTGCTTGGTAGATAGATTCCCATCAACTTTAACTTCAAATTGTCTTTCAATTAAATATGAGTGTATCCAATTCAGTACGTTGCCTTGAATGTCATATCTGCTTAGTTTATTTAGAAGGAAACTATGGTCCACTCTATTGAATGCTTTGATTGTAAACACTTGAAGAAGGAGGCAAAAATATCGCTGGTCTCGATGTTCGAGTCAGCTGTCCGATTTTTCTAGGTCATAGTAGACGGGCTATCACTATTGCATTGAAAAATTTCCAGAAAACACCTGTGTCATCCTGGACCTGCTGTTCGAATAGAATATTGATCTTTTTTACATTCTCGCCGAAGTTCGCTAAATTTTATATACATACATAATACAGTTTGGTATTGATTTTCATATAGGTGGAGTGAGCTCCCTTGAGCAATGTTTTATGTTTTAATTCGTTAGTAAACCAGTAAGGTAAGTGACTGTAGGTCAAGCGTGGAGTTACTCTATTCAACCCTACTGCCGAGGGTAACTTTACTTGTGAAGTTTACCCTTTTAGTAATGCTATACTTCGGGAGAAGAGCCAGTGGTATTTCATCACCTAAGGCCTTCATTTGCTGGGACGAGTTTACCTTTCCTCGCCAATACCCTTCTGCTGTCATATGAAGCATTTTATGTTTAACTGTTTGATTGATTACTAGATGAAGCGGTGTGAGTTTTAGCATTGCACCAAATGCACAGATGCAGGCAAGTCTTTGTAGTTTTGATAGCACAAGCCCTACCGAACCATACTTAAGTCTAAGCCGAAGTGCGGAACTTTAATCCGCTAAACCTAACCTACTCCCAACCCAAATCTCTCCTGACTCCTAATCTGTTGTAAGTGTCTCAATCTTGTCATTATCAAAGCTGACGCTTCGCTGACTGCTTTCCATTTAATAGAGGACTCACATATAAGTGCTTTCAAATTTTCCACCGAGGAACTACCGCCAAGTGTGGTTTTCAGATTTTCTCTTATACTTGAGAACCGAGGGCAATGGTAAAAAACATGTTCAGAGTCTTCAATACACTCTGTACACGTCGGACAGTACGGACTGTAGTCATGACGAAATTTGTAAAGGTAGCTTCTAAAGCACCCATGTCCACTTAGCATTTTGGTCAGGTGGAAATCCAGGTCCCCATGCTGTCTATCTTTTCACGGTCTGATGTCTGGTCTGTGAGTTTACCGTCCTTTGGATGAGGTTTGCCACCGTTGCTGCCACAGCGTAATGCTCTTGGTTCTTTCCTCTCTTTTTGTTGCTGTAGAGGGTTCCGATAGCTGGTATAAGCGCGCAAATTCATTTCCCTGGATGTCAATGGGCACCATACTGATTAATACTTCCGCAGCGTCGCTTGATACGGTTCGGAAAGCACTTATCACGCGTATTGCAGAAAGCCTATGCACTGTGATTATTGGTTTAGCATATGCTTTTGTGTCCAGCGCCTGGATCCATATTGGAGCAGCATACAGTATAACGGATCTCATTGCCTTAGCTATTAAAAATATAGATATATGTATGTATAAGTATGTATATATAAATGATCATATAGGCAAAATTGGACCATTGTCACATCACAAAATGCAGTTAAGCGAGAAATTATAAAGTGCTATAATAAGCGGCCTTTACACGGTCATTTTTGTCTGAAAACATGGTATGATACAAAAAAAACTGGTTTTCTTTTAAACAGTCGAACATGCAATCATACTTTACTTCTCTTTTATTTGTGAACGAAGCAACATGGCACGTGCATTGCAACAAAAAAAGCAAAAAAGACAGAGAAAAGCTTGGGTAAAGGAATGGCGATCAAGAAGAGCAGTTTTTTCACATAAAAGTTTGTTAAAGGAACTTGAACAGTCCAGCCCGGCGGACTACTCCGAATGGATCCTTCTGTATATTTGGGAAAAGTAACACCTTATATAGAAAAACAAAATACTATTATGCGAGACGCAATTTCGCCTGATGAACGTCTCTCTGTAACATTTATGTATTTGGCAACTGAAGAGAGCTACGATGTTGATTAAAGTTCTTAAAGATTTTATTTCAGTAAGTATATATAATATTATATATATCATGAAAATGGAAAACAAAACAAAAATAAAATATTTCTTCAAATCAATATAAATAACAAAAATAAAAAGAATAGTTTGCTTATGAGTAGTCAGAGTCGTTCAACAAGTCCGTAAATGTCTGATATTCCGTGTTGTTGAGTATTTATGGTTTCCTGTGATTGTATGTTGATGCTGGAAACTTTTTAATATTGCTGTGGCTGAACTGTTCTATGAAGTCTGATGTGCTGAACTTGAGGTTGAGGAGTAGATATAATTTGCGGTGGACTCAGAAGAGGGGAAAAATTAAGTATTCCGGACGACTTTGCAATGTTCCATCCGTGTGACGAGTTGTCACTATAAGAAAAGGTGTTAATGAGCATCTTGTGTTAGGTACGTTGAACATCCGATGGGAATTTTCGTTCAACCGACCAAAGCTCCTTGGTAACGCAATAACATTCTTCTTAATTTTGTTTTATACTGCTCGTTTGCACTTTCCATACTTCTGGATGGCTTCGATAAATTTCAAAGAAGTCCTTCCACAGTTCTTCGTTTATCCGTGACGTCATCACGCCAAGGATGAAATGATGCGAGACTCTTTGAATCGAGAGACTGTCAAACCCACATTTTTATAACATTTTCCAATCGCACTGTCGATATTATTTTAGGTGCTCCGTCGAGTATGCCTATATAACGCATATACATCCCTATATACGTGTATTTATATTAAAATTTTAAAAACTCATATAACATAAAAATAGCATATAAATAAAAATATAACAAAGAAACAATACAAGTCAATAAACGTCATGAGATTAGACGTTTTAAATTAAATTAACAAATAAAATTTATTGCACGTTACTCAAAGTATTGGTGTCGTTCCATGAAATTTCGTTTCGCACTGTTTTTTGATTTTATGGCGGTTTATTTCTGGCATCCCGCCTTTTTGACATCAGCTGTATTCCTGATTTTAATAATCAGGGAAAGAGAATAACAGAAAATCAGCGAAAATGAGAGAGTCAAGCATCATGTCATCCTTGATCACGCTTCGATGCAGGCTTATCTCTGCTTCGATGTTTGCTTAGTGCCGTTTCAGACAGGACTCAAAAGTCGCATTTTCAAATTTCTTTGGTGTTCGGCATTCACAGGCCAAAAGAGTCACAACTCAGTCTAGTTTTTCATTCTTTCACAAAATGTTCGTAAATATTTGTGCGGTTCGACTGCGCAACGCCGACTGCATGCTGCGTATTTCATTTGTATGTTGAGATGATGGTCACATTTTGCTTGCAATGATACCATGAATATGGTAGAACAATATGCATAATAAGTACCTACCCGCTAAATAGTTTCAAAAATACTAAGACGGAAATTCCTAATCCACAAGAATGTATTGAATATCCACTAATATTTTCAAAGTTTATAATAGGATTTCCTAATCTTTAAGTATTAAAAACTCATAATTTCTTTACTCCGTATTAAAATTCATAATTTCTTTACTCCATAATCTATCTTATTTTCTCTTATTTACAATTTGTCATAATTTCTATTATTCTATGCTATATTTGCATATTACATACAAAATAGATAACAGAACTCAAATTTGCGATCGAATTCATTTGAAACCGAGCGCTTTGCACCATTCAAAGGATTTGAAAGTGAAAGGAATGCTGAAAGGGTAGCAGCGAGCTGTTACGAACAAGAACACAAAGCGTGCCACCCGAACAGTAACGGTCCTCGTCGTCCCCTCGCCCACAATAAACTGGTTTGAGACTCTTTTGCGTCCCTGTCTGAAACGGCACTTAGTGCACTTTCACATAGGGATTCAAAAGAGTCTGAGTTTTTTCAAATTTTCTTTTGGTGTCGCTCTGGGCATTCACACGGTCAAAAAGAGTCCAGCAACTCGAGTCTAGTTTTTTGAATTCCTTTTCACAAAATTTTCGTAAATATTTGTGCGGTTCGACTGCGCAACACTGCGTGCTGCGTATTTCATTTGTATGTTGGGATGATGGTCACACATTTTGTACAATAATTACCATGAATATGGTAGAACAATATGCATAATACAAGTACCTACCCGCTAAATAGTTTCAAAGAAATACTAAAGACGGGAATTCCCTAATCCACAAGAATGTATTGAATATCCGCTACTAATATTTTCAAGGCCAAATTTATAATAGGAATTTCCTAATCTTTAAGTATTAAAAACTCATAATTTCTTTACTCCATAATCTTTATCTTAATTTTCTCCTTATTTACAATTTTTGAAAATATTTCTATTATTCTGTGCATACATATTTGCATATTACATACAAAAAATAGATAACAAAATTCAAATTTGCGATCGAATTCATTTGAAACCGAGCGCTCTTGCAACCATTCAAAGGATTTGAACGTGAAAAGGAATGCTGAAAAGGGTAGCAGCGAGCTGTTACGAACAAGAACACAAAGCGTGCCACGAACACGAGTGGCACGGTCCCTTCGTCTTTCCTCGTCGTCCCCTCGCTCACAATAAACTGGTTTGAGACTCAAAAGAGTCCCAATGTAAAAGTGCACCTACGACTGAAAAAATATACTGCGTGCATGATGCAAGCATTTACACCATAAAACATGTTCATAACAATATCATGTTTTTAAAAATTTTTAAAAACCATCGCACATGTATGACGAACGCGAATTTATTATAACATAAATGACCGTGTAAAGGCCGCTATAGGTATAAAGTACAAATGTCAGAAAGTATTAAAGATAAATCAATCAAACTTTCTGAAAACAAGTCCTTTTGACAGCTCCTCATACACTGTAAAAATGGTGGAAATCCGCTAATAACCACGCCTACTTCTCATATAACCATTATATTTAAAACTATATAAGTGCGATAACGCACTATGTAAATAAATATCTTAGAAGCATTAACTTTCCCATCCGAGGTGGTAAAAATAGTTTGCATAGGTCTTGTGGTAATAATTGTACGTTGGGCGTGGCACCGTCCACTTTTAGATATAATTTCATATCTCAGGAAATAGTGAACCAATGCCAACCATATTTTATAAATTACATTATACCGGCAATCTTACGTTACGATGTTAAGCCACTTTTACTTCCCAAATATCACAATTAGAAATTCCATATGATTTCTTTACTTTAGGGTATATAAATTAAATATAAATGAAATCATAATTTTGCACAAAAAGTGGCTTAGGTACAATTTTTTATCGAACAATGAATTTGAAAATTTTTAAACCCGCAAATTCCATATACATATGGTGATCTCAGTGCCAATGCTCGACTTGATACCGAAAATATCGGTCAATCTTTTACTATATTACTGAAAAGCAAATAGTATCTTTTCCTGATCATGATGTACCCTTATGTCAAAAATGGATAAAATCAAGTCAATAGATCCCTTAGCCCTTAAATACCCAACTTAAAAATTTTCGAATTTCTGATTTGCGGTCACTATTTGAGTTATCTTAATGTAATTCAAAGAGCGCCCTTATGCCTAAAATTGATAAAAACTAGTCAGGCGGTATACTGTATATACGTAAGATAATTTCAATACGTAAGATAATTCACCCGCATTAAGTGAACGTACAATAAACGGATATACTATAAATGAACGCAGAAAATGTGTGAAATCGGTCCACGAACTACTCCAGCTCCCATATACTAGATACAATGATTTTCCTTGTTCTAGCAGACATCAGACCGAATATATCGGCCAATGTGTGAGTTATCTACCTGAAATTACATAGAAACATATTATTAAGTATACTTGAGTATACTATCCTAGATTCGTTATACATGATATAGTGATATCTGCCTTTCCTGTTGGCGTACACGTGATATTTTAATAAAATTAAGTGGACCGGTTGGTTTAAACATAATGTGATTTAACGTTGAATATAAATAAAATCGATCTAGACTTTGGCCTTAAACCCATATATCTAATTATTTTATATTTTATATAATTTTATTGAACGTTGGTATGCAATATTGATAGATTGCGAGGCTTTACTTCAATTTTCGTCTAACATTTTCCATTCAAGTCGTAAGGCAACTTGAAGACCAAGTGAAAACAGCTGATTACATAACTTTGCAAACAAATGCTGTTGCTTGTAGTCTACGTCACGGTTGTCAATTTGAATCAATTTTGCCAAGTATTTTATATGATCAACTTGAAGCAAGTTAACTGCAGCGTAAGTGGCTTCAGCTTTTTTTGACTTAATTTAAGAAAAATGTGATCACTATGTAATGTATAAATATTCCAAAGAATGCATCTCTGAAATTTCGAATTCATATAACGCCGCAATAGTTTGAAAAGTTTATATATTAAGAATTTATTACACAGATTTACAAAATAAATTAGTAATAGTCATGTCAAATGTTGATCTTGATTGCGATAATGGTGCTGTACGAATAATAGTCCGTGAAAGGCCAGTACGGAATGCACAGGGGCTTGAAGACGAGTGTTTAAGTGTAATTTCATACCTTGAAGCAACCCCAAATGTATGAATACTCATGCGAAATATAAATAATTAATTAATAAATTGTTTCATTTAGGTACTTCTTGCGGACGGAAGACCATTTACTTTTGATAAGGTTTTAGGTCCGAATGCATCACAGGAACAGTTATTCCTCGATATTAGAGTCTTGGTTGAAAAAGTAAAAAAAGGTTATAATTGTACAGCATTAGCGTATGGTCAAACTGGTACTGGCAAATCTTATTCGATGGGGCTTAATTCAAATGTTTGTATACCAATATCTAATTATCGAAAGTTATTTATTTAATTTAATAAACTTTTCCAGGCTTGTGACGGGGAGTTCGTAGGAATAATTCCAAGATGTTTGAGGGAAATATTAATCACATCTGTGGATGAGAATAAATCAGAAAGCCATTTAGGGTCAATTGAAATAAACGCGTCTTTTATAGAAATATATAATGAAAAAGTGTTTGACTTGCTAAGTGACAAGAGCACGGAACCAATCTCTTCTCGGGGTTAGTTTTGAAACTATTGCATTTTAAATAAATAAAATATAATTACCATTCAAAATTTAATTTTTTAGGATACAAATATACGGGTGGCACTCGAAAGGTCCTCAAATCATTAGAAGATTGCTATAGTGTGTTATTGCAAGGTAACAAGAACAGACATGTTAGACCGACCAAAATGAATTCTCAGAGTTCAAGATCACATGCAATTTTTACGATTCATATACATACTTGTTCTGGAAATGGTGTTCTTAGTACTAGGTTAAATTTAGTAGATTTAGCTGGCTCAGAAGGTGTGCGCAGAACAGGTCATCAAGGAATGGCGATGTCAGAAGGAGTTAACATAAATCAGGGCCTTTTATCCATTGGTAAAGTTTTACAGGCAAAAGCTCTCGGGCATAAAGTGGTACCATATCGTGATAGTGTTTTGACTTCTGTTTTGCAAGGTAATTTCTTGTATTTAGACATAAGGTTCAAGATATAACTGTAAAACATTTAATTTTCAGATTCACTCAATGAAAACTCCTATTTAACACTTTTGGCTTGCATTAGTCCTCATCGTTCAGATCTATCTGAGACCTTATCAACTCTTCGTTTTGCCCAAAGTGTGAAACAATTGAAACACTCACCGCACATTAATTTAATAGCAACTGATATAAAGGTAATCATAATGTATTAATAAAAATATAAATTTAGACTTAAATGACTTTGAATGAATCATTAGTGTATATATCCAAAATTAATGCAATCAATGATAACGTCGCGCATTCGCTCGCTGTACTCGTGTAAATTTCCTTCGCATAGAAGACCGGAGTCCTTTAAATTTTTTAGTTTCCCAATTTCTGCCTGTTCGCTAAGATTTTCAAGGTTGGGCACATCTTCACTTTTTAATGTTATAATTGGAAGCACAATCATTGCAAAAAGTATAGCAACAGCCCCTCTATTTTTTAATTCCTCGTCGAATTTTTCTCGAGGAAACAATTTAAATGGATTAGATCCAAGTCTATGAAGAAAACTTTTTATCATGGTTGCTGGAACTTTCGAGTTCATGATAGAATTAGTCCTACCTGCTGATGTGCCGAATTAATTCCTCATAGTAAACATTTAGAACATCTCCGTAATGTGCTTTTCTGAATTTTCTTGAGGTACAGGTAAAAATAAAGTACATCAGATCGCTAATTGGAGACGAGTATCGTAACAGTTGCCAGTCCAACAAACGCATTGTGATGGCATCAGTGCCCTTTCATATACCAAATTAAAATTAGTTATTTATCTTTGTTATAATCGTCAATCACATTATTTACCTCCAGCTTAAACATTAAATTGTTGTTCCAGCAATCTCCATGACATAATACTGCATATGGTTCATATTTGTTACCATCAATTAGATCCGAAAAAATTTCAAAAAATGGACGCTTAAAAAATTTGCCCAGGGCTTGCTTATACTCATCATTTTCCAGTTCCAAACATGCCAGCGCAGTCCTTTTTAATCCCTCAAAATAAATATTTAAATTTGAAACATCCTTGTGTTGTAGAAAAATATCTTCAATATTTCGAAATTTATCTAGAGCTTGAGGCTGCTGGTCTTTAATGGCGAAAGAGACTGCATGTAATTTTGCATATGTTCGCATTACTATTGCAATATGTTCAAATTGAAAATCATCGAAACGGTCAAACACCCTAAACTCCTGTAAACTTAAGTCCTCCAAAAATATTACTTCTTCGAATTCATCTGTTGAAGTATAAAAACTCTTGGCATACTCATGAAAACGGCATTCTTCTGATAGTCCTTTATTGTATTGAAAATTTTCAATCATTGGTAAGAACTAAGAATAATTAGAAAACATTTAATATTAATTTAATTTTCTGTAAAATATTTGTTACTACCTCCTCATAAGCAAGAGCTTCTCTCAGAAAACAGGGCCTGATAAAAAATTGCTTACGTCTTGTAGAATTTCGTGGTGCCATTTTAAGAATTAAATTAGAAAGACGAACACCGCAATTTGTATTTAATTTAACAGAAACGCGATACACAATTCCTATGTAGTTTTCACCTTTTTTAGTAGCTGGCAACAGTTTATAAGTAAACGATTTGGATGAAAATTGCCTTTCCAACAGTTGTTGAAGTGCCGCCAGGACTTTACTGCTCGGATAGTCACAATCTTGTCTGCGTGTTTTTGCACTGTCGTTATCCATTTTGAACTATTGTAAATCTAGACATTTACTTGAAAATCGTTTAATATATAAATGCCTTTTGACGATATTGATCCATATTGTTGCAACCCACAATATTTGATATCATATTTTGCGGTCTTGAATATATCAAAATGAACAAAACTATAAGTAAGGAAGGGTTGAAGTTGCGCAGCCGAACTTCATAAACCATCCAGTCATTTTTACGAGAAAATAAGTATTGTGAAAAACATATTATAAAGTTAAAGTGGAACATATATACTTGCTTTTATTATTTTTTTGTTATTAGTACAAGGTCATTTACAGTCGAAGTGAAAAATTGCGATTGCAATTCTATTAATTTATTTAACTACACCGTTTTATAGAAAAATCGCTTGAAAACTCCAATGAAACGGCTCATGACACCAGCACCTGCCAAGCCAACCTTTTCTAAAACTAACATTAACATGGGAATAAAGGTTCTAAAACCTATCTATCATAGTAACACATTTTGTACTCCGACCAAGTTAAAAAGATACCCTAATGCCGATAAATTGAACCAATCCGAATTTGGCGTTACACCCAAAGAAAAGGAAAAGTAAGCAAATTAATTCAATAACTTAAAATTAAATTTCAATATTACATTTACATTTTACATCGTTAGGCAACAAACACGAGTTTTTCAGTCTTGTGTCTCTGAACTTCCTATAGTGCACTCAAAAGTACCGCAAACAAATCGAGAATCGAGCATTATAATGGATAAATCTCTTGATTCTCGGGCTTCAATTATGAGTTTGAATGTATCATCATCGACAATGGTTGGAAATGATGGAATCGCATCAAGTAAAGTCATTAGGTATAGATATTCTAAATGTTGTACATAATATATATGTATGTATATTATATACCCATCTTTGTGTTCTATAACAGCTACAGTCCCGTCGTGCGGAAATGTATGGTAGAAATAGAAAACGTCATGGATAACAAAATGTCACAATTAATGGAAACTTTAAAAGACCTAAATAAGGATAATATTCAACATCGGTTGGAAATTATGGACACTCCATGGCCAAGTACGGGTGATTCAGTTAGTGCAGGACCACTTCCACTGGCACTCCGCAATGAATTGAAGACTATTATACAAGAAATATTGAAAGAAAATGTCAAATCAAATACTAAATTTTCGGGCGACGTGAATAGATCCGAGTCGATATTATTAGAGTCTTCTCTTTTAAGGAATGATCCAAAATGTCAATTGGTAATTTTTCTACAAACATTGTTTATTAATACATATAATGAATATTTATATGTTTTTAGTTTGCTACAAGTAGTCCAGTTTTCAAAGTCCCATCTGCACCTAATAAAGAATTTGATAGTTCTGCAAATTCTTTTAACACAAAGGAATTATCTATGAAAGTAATTGAAATCGATGAAGAATCTAAACGTTATAAAACTGCAATTAGACGATCTAGTCGGATTTCCGCAGTAAGGGGAGAAGTGATATTAGACAGTTCATTTAATGATTTAAGAGGACCAGGTACTCTTAATGAAGCATTACGACGTTCTAGTCGCATTTCGAAAATTGGGGAACAAATTGAGATGCAGAGAGCAAACGATTCTTTTAAGCTAACGTTAAGCGCAATGTCACGAAAAAAACCAAAATCTTTAAAACAGCATGTTGAAAGACGGATAGAGAAAGAAGAAAATGAAGGAGGCAAACATATCTCTAAAGCACATAACAATGCAAGTCATCGTATATATTCCTTAAACAACAATATAATTGAGAGATACTTTACTATTGGTGCGCAAAAGTCAAGTTCGCACATTAAAGGAAAAGAAAAGAAATCGAATATTCTGAAACACCGAGCAGCAGTATTAGATTTATTAAATTCTGGCTCTATGAAAGATTTGCAGTTACTGCCTCAGATAGGCCAAAAAACAGCGTATCAATTGGTAACTCAGAGGTATGTATTGTTTTAAGTATGTAATTTATTATATTTATCTTCTTGGAATTACAGAACATTGACGGGAAAATTTAAAAATATATCACAACTTGAAAAACTCACAATATGGCGTGGAAACTCGTGGATACGTTTTGCGCAAGTACGTAAATTACACTCAAAATTATGCCAAAAATAAAATATTAAATTCATAATTTACAGGCAAATTTGCTCATTGACTAAAACGGCTTCCAACATTTTCTTTATTTAAAGCAATATTTATTTAATATACTTTTATCTTCTAATTTTTCTGTGTTTTTATTGTAATAATATATTAAAAAAATGTTCGTATATGTATTAAATTAAAAAGATTGTAAAAGAAAATACAAGGGGTATTTGTATCTATTATCTATATGTATTTTAAGTGGATATTGAAGTATTATTGTTATAATTTTTACCTTGTTTTTGAACTCGTTAAGCCTTGTTGTGCATTTTTACAAGATTATGGTAGATTCAGGCAACGTATACTCTTGATAACTCCATTAGTATCTTGGTAATTTTAAGAGTATGGCTAAGTAAGGTACTTATTTTTAAGAAAAATATATATGCGTTGTTCTTTATTTAGTTGTGAACGTTTCTGATTGAATAACTTACGATGATCTCTAAGCAAATCGTTATTTTGTAAATACCTTGTGAAAACGTTTTATTTTTTTTCGCTTCGAGATATTGATGAATTATTTTCATGCATTTACAATGTATTAATGTAATAAGGAGAAGTTAATGCGAAACTACCGACATAGCGATTTTGCATTTCAAAGAAATGCAAATGAATTTCCATCTGCTCTTTTATGTCCATACAAATTAGAGATAAATCATTATCATGCATTAAACGTAAAACTCCTATAACAATATGGACTACTAGACTGAAAACTAGACTTTGGTATCGTTTCAAAATAGGGGTAAAAAAATCACAAGTAACAGGTAAATTATAAAATATAATGTTATTCGTTTGTAAATAATAATTGATTTATTGTATTATTTTATCTATTCAAATTGAACTATTCAGCAGAGTTATTTAAGGACAAGAATGTAAGACGATGATTTATTTAGCTCAAGTTCTCAATTAATAAAAAAAAAATCGCATTAATATTGTCATCAGCAAAAACAAGAAGGTTCTTTGTATTCTGTACATTTTAACAAGAAAAATTTTAACGTCGCATTAGCGTTTATAACGTTTTTACCATATTGAATTATTGCATCCAAACTCAACACTGAGAGCAAAGTTAACGATTTGCTCATAGCTTAATATAAAATACATCAAATAGTCATATGTCTATCTACAAACTATATATACACGTATACAATAAGACAATACGAGGTTGGTTAAAAAAATATTGCGAATTTTGTATTTCTTAAGATATTGTAATAATCACCATTAGATATAATGCACTTATGCCAGCGTTTTTTCCAATCCTCCAAGCACTTAAAAAAGTCATTTTATGTGATCTTGTTAAGCTCCTCTTTCGATGAAGTTTTTATCTCCTCAATCGTAGCATAGCATCGTCTTTTCATGGGCCTATTCAGTTAAGGAACAAAAAAAATCACAAGGGGCCAGGTCTGGGGAATACGATGGCTGCGGCACCATTAATGTGTTGTTTTTGGTTAAATATTCGCGCACAAGCAACGATGCGTGAGCAGGGGCGTTCACAAATCTGGGCGTTTCTGAGGGATTGCTTCTCGCAAATTGCGCATAACTTGCAGGTAATATTCTTTATTGACCGTACGACCCTTTGGCAAGAACTCTTGATACACGAAAACTGTGAGCAAAACCTTCGTTCACATTTCAAGGTAGCTTCACCATATGCCACAGTCAATATTCGGAATGCGTCCGCGCACTTAGCTTTGTTTTCACACAAAATTTATTTGTATAAATTCTTTAATCCATTTTAGGAATAAGCAAAAATCGAAGACGAATCAAAACGCGTCCAAGCAAAACAGCTGCCAATTTAGCTAAACATTCAAAATTGCCGACCGTGTCAGCTAAGTAAGGGATATGAGTACCAACATATCACAACAAAACAATCGAAAATCGAATACACATAGCTTGCGAAAATTCACAATTCGCAATAATTTTTGAACAAGCCTCGTACATATATCTTTGGGGGCTGGTGCATAAGTATATATTTTTGTACAAACACGTATACATGTACATACATATTTAGGTATTTGTTCGGAGTTATTTATTAGACGTTAGCGAACAAAGCAAATACCATAATCTGGCGAAAGAAAAACAGACTTTAAGATTGTATAGGGAAAGCAATAAGGAGATAAGACAGAAAACCAAACGAAAACACAAATGAAAACATTCGATCAGCCGGCTTTTGCAGGTGGCGCACTTGACTTCGTTTACTACGTTGCTCGTGCGGTCGTTTATACTGGTGCGCCAGCGTAGCCCGTTCAAAAGTCATCCGAGGCTTATTAAACGATATCGCTTTCAGATGCAGCTCAGTTTACTTTAAACACCGATCAAAGACGGAAAGGCCAAATTATTAAAAGTTTTAAAATATTTTGAAGCCCTCTAGTTTAGTTTTGCATATAGTTCTTACTAATAATTTTACTTTGAAACCAAAAAAAAGGCAAAAATGCAGCCAGTAAAATTTTATTTTAATTTTTTGAATCAGTCGAGTCGTGCATTATATATTTTATTGGAAGCATCGAAAATACCTTTTGAAGCGATACCTATATCAATTCTTAAAGGCAAGCAAAATTTACTAAGCTCTTATAACACGAAATATTTCCATACATTAATATTTGAAGTAAATAATACGAGTATAATGTGATAAAGTTTGTTTTCATCGATACTAGCGATGTACGATGTAGCCCAACAATGTGAAGATTCAAATAGAGATAGACACAAAGTATTCAAAATGCGTATGTTAACCACATACATTTGTATACTTCCATAGATATAGGTATATAACTAGTATATCCATGAGTTAACTTGCTTGCATGCGTTAAATACTAATACAAACGTTTTTAATGCCTATGTGTGTATATTGGCTTGTCGAATAAAAATAAGAATCATAGTATTATTCTAGTCTCCTGGAGCATTTCGTTATCATATACATAGTATACTCGTATATTTATTTATAAATATGTGCAGTATATAGGAAACTGGTTTGAAAAAATGCAATCAACAATCACGCTCCTTTATATACATACATATATGTATGTGTATATTTTATTTATTTATTTATTTATTCCAGGATACAAAGTACATATTACATACAAAGTATGCACCTATAGAGGTGTTACAAAACACCTGTACATAGGCCTGGTAATATTAGTTTATTATAATTAAGTACTAATCTATTAATAACAAATGTCAGAAAATATCTAGTTTTTTTTATGACTTCTTTGATAAGAAGATACACCTAAGTATTTACTATTATCAGTTCTTTTAATGGTCTTATCATAAATTTTTAACTCAAAACTTTCTGGAATACTGTCTTTATATGAACCGAAAGTTATGTAGTTAGTTTTTCCAACATTTAGAGTTAAGTAATTATTACACATAAAATTCCCTATTAAACTTAACTGCACATTCATTTGTGATTCAGCTTCCGCCCAAGGATCCTTAACTCGAGTTGTAGAACATGAAAAGCATTTAAAACAAGTAAGGAAGGGCTAAGTTCGGATGTAACCGAACATTTTATACTCTCGCAAAGTCAAATGGTATACTCGTTTTAGATTTCTTTGTGGATTTTGTCGCCTTGTTCTATGATGACCGATATTTTCGGTAAAAAGTCAACTATAGGTACTTGGGTCCACATATTCAGTACCTAGGGGCCTGAACTGTTTTGGTTCGATTTAGACAATTTTTGGTCACCCGGATTTCAACTCGTCTCTTCATCCCGATCATTTATATATATATTACTTTACATCTAACTCGATTAGTTTTAGGTGATGCAAACAACCGTTAGGTGAACAAAACTATTATACTCTGTAGCAACAAGTTGCGAGAGTATAAAAAAGATTCGTAACAAAATCAAAACACGTTTGTTTATGTACCAGCACATGATTCAATTATAAACGGTTTTATCACTAGCCCAAAAACAACAATTTGTCAAGAGTGTCTTCATTCATAATGTCAAAGTCAGCCGTTCTGTTCTGTTTTTATGATTCAAAAATAATTTGTTCAAAGATTTCAAACAATGAAAATATGTTTCTTGAGTGATAACTAAATACGAATAGATTATAAATTATAACAAATCATCAATTTGTAAACAAGAAATTCATGAGAAAAACAAAAAACAGGTTTAATTAGGGATTAAAATTTTTTTTCGTACGAAGAAAGCACGCTCTGAATTAATACAACCTAATATAATTGGATCATGATACCAGAAATGCCCTCGATGTTTTGCCACTGCTTATAGAAAAAGTAAATTTATATGATATAAAGACACTTCCTGCTACACTCGCTTCTATGGATTTTCAATGTACATTCATTTACAACAGCACGTAAACACTACATACATTTACATATATCGATGTTATTCAACAGATAATTACAACCAACTTTTCCAAATAATCAAAACATAATAAAGTTATAATAAAATCGTATCCAAACCAACCCATCTTCGCATAGCCGAATATAACAAATAACTAAAATTCGACAAACTTTGATACAGTCATGTAAATAAATTACTAATTTATCTCTTGTTGATTTTGACTTTGACTACGTGACTTAATATAAGGTACATATGTATGTACAGTTATTGTTAAAGTCACTCTCATCTCAAGTATAATCAAATTTCAAGAAATTTGTTAATTTTATTCTATAAAATTTTTACGATTTTTCAACTTATACTCAATTCAATGGCATACAAATAATATAATATAACTTCTTATCGTTTAAATTTAAAGTTCAAAATATGTTTAAATATGCATTCATTGTCTTAAGATCAATTTTTTAATTCTTTTTCTACATATTCATATGTATGTATGATGGAAGTACATACATTTGTAGGTTAACTCACGCAAATAACTCGTGAACTGATAAATTATTTTGTCAACAAGATTATATTAGCTATTCATTTGACATTTTTAGTCGAGAAGTAAACAAATCGAACATACATGCATACATACACATGTTTATTTCACTATGTACATACAAATATTGTTCCACCTAGGTCTATGAATTTTATAAATGCACTCGAATGTTAATTTCTTTAATCGAAAGAGTATAATGATATCAGAGTAGGTTAAGTATATGACCACTGAAATGTAGATTGATGTTGCAGTTCTGCTATAATCAAAAAGTTTGCAAAATTGTTAGTAACGGCCATTGTGAAATTATTTATGGCCGAATCTACTATATCGTAAAAGTCGGCTTACATTTCCAATTTTACCGTCCATGAAATTTCTATTGGATTAAGCCATCAAATCACAGCTGTGAAGAACACAGTTAATTTTTGTGTGGTTTTTAGTGCATGCTTAAGATATTTCAAAATAAGCAGAGCATTATTATAATTAGCAGAAAGTTAGTAAGTAATTTATTTCTTCAAACTTTTTTTATGACACTGCGCTATATTAATTTTAATGAATGTGTCATTTTACACGATATAAACTGAAATTTGTTAATATATATGTTGTAATTATCTCCGAATACCTATGTACATAGGTATGTACTTGTATACACATGAAAATTCAAACCGATATTAACCAGACTCTTAGAGATAACTTGTAATAGTAGAGCAATGTATCCTTTCCAAAACAAGTAGAGGCTGTATTGCCAATGAAATTAGCTAGCTCACAAAAAGAAAACGATTTTTTATACTATCTACTTAATCCATTTGTGAAATATAAAACCAATATTCAAGTACTTATTATTATTATACTGGAGGAACTTAAATTAGGATACACCTAATTCGTTTTTACACGGTAGATTGGTTCCAAACAAAACCGTTAAAAAAAAAACGTGCAAAACAAACATTGATCATTCCCCTTGCTTTGAACAGTAAACTGGCTTGTATCCACAAAAATCAAATCTGACCTAAAATGTAAAAATTCAAAAATTGTTGTAAATGTATTCCTTAATTGATTGGTAAGGACACATAAGTACATAAATATTTATGTACTCGGGTATATACACTTCTGTAGCACTACAAATCTAAAATACATACATACATATGTACACATATAAAGATGTTAGACCAAATAACTTAATTGAGCTGAAGAAAATTTTAAAATATTTAAGTACTTTTTTATTTTGTTGCAGGTGAACATTTAACTGGCGAGTTTCGTGATAAAGTGAGTCAATTCAAGTGCTTGCCCGTACTTAACGATGAGAACTTATCTTTGGTTGGGAGTATCACTATATTTCGACATCTAAATCGAGAGAAAATTGTGCCGGAGCATTGGTATCCACGACGCAATTTTGGTCGCAGTCGTATAGATGAATTCCTTGAATGGCAACAGCGCAATACCGCGATGGCATGCGGCAATTACTTTCAACAAAAATGGCTTTTACCTATTTTAAACAAGACATCTCCTGCCGACAAAAATGTACGTTAACATATGTACCTATAAATATATAAAAAGATCTGTTGGTTATATGATATTTAGTAATGTGCTGGACATCTGCTGTATACTATATAACAGATTTTCGACATTCTGATGAATTTCTGCCGTTGATTTTTTTAGTTATTTTTGTCTTAGAAACCAAAAGTTTGAGAAAATGTGGCGTTGACGTTTTGGAACAGTTAACGACTAGTTCCTATACCGAATAAACCCTACAAAATGCTTAGGTCGTGGTCATTGCCCAGTTTTGATTGCGAATATTATAATAATAAAAAAAAAACATGTAATTAAACGCATGTACTTTACTGTTCCATTTTTATTAACTCATATTCTCCTGTTTTTTATGTTAATTATAGATCAGTGTCTTAACAGAATGTCTAAATCAAAATTTGAAGAGCTTTAAAAACCACTTTTTAACTAAAAATAAGTTTGTCATTGGTGAGAATATTTCTTATGCTGATCTGATGGCAATTTGCGAAATCGATCAATCAAGTAAGCTACAAGTATTTTTAAAAATCAAAATATTTTATTTTAACAAATATGATTATTTGTAAGTTTGTATTGACTAACATCTGGAAATCAACATTATTATTTTTGCAGAATTTATAGGATACGATCCTTTCAATCATCATCCAAAGTTGGGTAAATGGTATGACAGAGTAAGAGAAGAGTTGGGACCGTATTATAAGAAAGTAGCAATTGAATTAGATAACAAATTAAGAACTGCAGAAAAAAAGATACCGGAAGTCATGTATCTTCAACAATAAATAAAGCTATGTATATGAAAGACACATATACGCATATTGTTTAGGTTACTTAAATTTTGTTAAATACTATTAAATTTGTATTTTAATATTTTTTGTTACAACTCTGATGCTAGTCGACGACCGACTTGTTAATTTTATCGTTATAATTAGTTATAAGAAATAAGGAATGTACTATCATACTTATACTTGAAATAACTATAAGCATTTTTTAATAAAAAAAATATAAATACAATATCTGAATATTTAACCAATGAAATTCTGACGAATGACATTATTATGCTAAAAAAAATTGAGGTTTAAGCTCATTTTTGATGTATGATTTGATCATTAAGCATTGCAATAAAACGAAACGGGGAAGGTAAAATATTCGCAGATGGCACTGCCACCTTACAGGGCCAGTCCGAGATAATTTACTGTCTTAGGCAAATGCCAAATTCTCTGACTTTTCTAAGTCTATTTTCCCTTAACATCGAATTTAAAAAAAAAAATTATTCAGGTCATTTTATTTAAGAAGAAAAAAAACCTCATTCAAAGGTTGAAATATAAAATTCTCCCTTCGGCGTCTTAGTACATTCATCTTTTTTGTACTTTCTGTTTTTCTAAGTATTGAAATATAAAATTCTCCCTTCGGCGTCTAATATGTGCCACTAATATGTGAAATGTAAAATTATTCAAACCTTTAACAAATCTAATGTTCTTTTACCAACAGAAGCACTGATATATTATTTGTAATAACAATTCATTATTTAAAACAGTGAATCGACCTATTTACATATATTTTTGAACAAAACATTTAACTTTGATTGAAGTGAAAGGTTTTAGTACGGCAACAACGAAATTGCATCAGATGTTTAATATGTCGCTGCCGTCTTCAAAATGTTTACGAAGCCGACCAGAAAATTTCGCTGTCGTGCCGTCGTCTCTGTGTTCATAGCATAAGTTGTAAAAAAAATTATACTAAGTCCTTAGAAAAAATCCAGATTGGGATAATTCTTAAAATTTAACAGTTGTAACGGTTGGGATATTCCCTCAAATGCTGATGTGAACGGAAAACGAAAAATTATGGCACACGAAATTGTGCTGCCAAATGCCCACAAAACCTTTGGCAAGGATGATATGTAGCGAGACTTTCTCATTTTACCTAATTTTTCTCTCATTGCCAGAAATAAACCCGCTAAAAGTATCTGAAAAAGCAGTGCGAAACGAAATTTCAAGGAATGACACAAATACTTTTGAATAACGTGCAACTAAAGCTTTTTTGCTACATTTGTTATAAATTTGAAATATATGCATTTAAAACGTTAATCATAAAATCATGATATTTTATTATGAGTTGTATTGTTTATTTGGTATAGTTTACTATTTATATATAATATTATTTTATATGATTTTGAAAAATGTTATAATATGAATAAGCGTATTTAGGACTGTATATGATACTCGGGAACGGAGGACCTTAAAATAATATGGAACAAATGCAAAATGACCAAAAGTTATTTTTAAAATACCCTCTCCATTTTCTCTTGACAGTGGAATGATGGAGAAATGTTATAAATCAAAGAGTTTCGTATTATATCAGAGATAACGAGATACCCAACTCATCTCTCACAGAGCGCAATTGCTGAACGTCGAAACCTCCTGAACTCAGGCAACTGTCAAAGTTCAGGAGGTCTGACGTTTAGCAATTTGAAAAGAAGGGACGGCCAGATTAAAATCCTACAGAAATATATGTGAACAGAGAGATTTGTTGCTGCTGTTGAAGATCACTAATAAAAATTGGAAAACAATGAAAATGAAAGAAAACGCGAAATTGAAATGTATATGATGAAATCTTTTGTGATGTGATGCTTAGTAGTATTAATTTACAATTGAAAATTATAAAAAAACATTTATTAATTGAGAGCTAATACATTTATTCTTTTCATTTAGTATTGAAAGTTCAAACATTAATTGTTTTAATATATCACAAAATCAGAAAAAGGGTTTAAATAGTATCTGCATATGTTTAGCGGAAACATGCATAATAATATTTAATCTTAATAAATGTTGGGTATATTAATTTAAATTCCCAAAAATTATTATTTTGTTCGATCTGGCTACAATGGAAAATGTTATAAAAAGCGCTAATTTTGAGGCGCTCTCACACTGGAAAGAGTTGGGCATCCCATTATCCCTGATTATACTCAACTCCTTTTATGGTGATTAGCATATAAGCTACATATACATTTTGAAGTTTGATGAGCAACACTTTAATAGATACTATATCATACAATGCAAATTTTTACGTTATTGAAGAGATGATTATAAATTACTTTCCATAATTGTTTAATTTTGTTGAGATATTACTTTTCATGGATTTCTACATCTTCCACTCGTTTTGAATAGCACGGGAGAAATATGCCAATTAAACAATCTGAAAATAATTCTATATTTATAAGCAACTTCACATATTAAGTAATAAATATTGTACTTTTTCTATCAGTTTTATCGTAAATAATATACAGATGAGAATTATAACGGTATATTAAAAATCAAGCTCCAAATGTTTAAATACCTTGCGGTTAGAAAAATTTCTAAATTAGAACGAATGACAATAACTTTTCAAAAGCTAACGGAAGCAAAACCTTTCATGTTTTCTGTCGGTTAAATATATACAAATAAAGCCAGGAAAAAACTCACCACCGAGAAATCTAATACCAGCCCTGGATATTATTCATAAGAATTCACTTTGAATTGCTGATTATCTGTAAATCAATTTTTTGTGGACAAAATATAACACACTTACTAAAGTATAACGTAAATAAATAATCTCCCATTATAATAAGCAACAATATTTAGTGTTTGTTATTTAATACAATTTTCCTAGTATTTACAACCTCAATATATACAGAACTGTTACCACCGAAAATCTAAAATGACCGCTATTCACCCCTCAGAAAGCTACCACGAAAAGGTTTTCTACTGTGATTTATACAAATATTGCTACCCATAAGCAATATAAAGTTTCCATTCGCAATATTGCTACCAATACAGTTTCCTAGACAACATATATCGCCTGTCGAGGTGCCCTATGATTCTAATCGATATGAATTTAATCGAAATGCTTTAGGTGAATGTTTTGCTTCTCAATTTAAGCCACAGAAAAAGTCATCGTTTGAATTTTGTTACATTATCACAGTTCGAGTTACGGTATCACAATTTCAAAAATGCAGCGTGAAGAAAAACAAATGGAAATGACACTAGATGCCATCTTAAGTAGGCTAAATGACTTAAAAATGTCCATTGGTGGGATGATACAGAAGCTTGAGACTGAGTATGAAATAATTAACTGGCCAACTTTTCTTGACAATTTCGCTATAATATCAAGTCATGTAAATATTTGTAACATTATAATACGAGGAAGGTTTAAACAAATTGTCCTCTCAGTTGACAGGGTTATCGAAAATCCTCGCTAAAGAAGTTTGTCCACCGCTGCGTAATCGGACTGTTCTTCCATTAATGCTATCACAAGACCGTGACGAGTCGTTGATAAATCTTACACAGGGACGTGTTCCTGTATTTTCACATGATATAGTACCGGATTATTTGCGTACGAAACCGGACCCACTTACTGAACAAAAGTTAATTCAAGGGGAACAAAAAGCTGCGAATCTAACCGCAGAAGCTGCCATGAAACAGGTTACACAATACAATAAAGTCGTATCTCACGTACTAGATATGGTGTGTAAAGCTCGAGAGGAATGGGAGATTGAATCATCCACCAGAGCAGGTTTGAAAACGGCCTAAAGTTTCTTTCGATGTAAAAGTAATGTTATATTTGTTATTTTTCAGGAATTCAACAAACAAGCAGTATGACAGATACTCATGCGTTGGTATCTGCCGTTGGAATGGGCAAAGGTTTAAAAGCAAATGTTTCATTAAATGTAGCAACAGGTCCAACCAATATGATGGTACCCCCACTGCGCGCTTCTGCACCTATGACTTCTGTCAGCCCAAGTGGAGTCGGTCAAATAAACAAAGCTCCCTCAGGCATTAAGACAAATATCAAGCCGGCCATGCAAGTTCATCAATTTTCACGATAGTTAATTAAGTACTTAAGACTTAAGGATAAACATATGAAGATTGTATAAAACCGATATGTGTAAGCTAATACGAGTACTAACCATAACGGGTCAACTCCGGTAACGTAAAATCGGCTATTGTGGGAACAACAACTATATTTAGGTTTAAACTTTCCCTAGTATTTATATATGGTTGTTGAAATCGAAATCAATACTGTGGTTAGGTAAACTCTGTTTCGTAAAACAATTATAATATTGGCAACCTATTCCAACACACTCAAAATTATATTTCAAAGCGCTTAAAAAATAAATGTATTTCTGTTTTAATTCATTTTTGTGAATATTTTTCTGTCCAAATTTTGATCCAAATAACAATACAAAAACAAAAAAAAACCATATATTTTAAAATATTTATTTTTTTGAAAACGGTTCCTGGCATTCTCTCTACGTATACGGCAAAGTAATACATATAACCTACTGGAACTTGATTGTCATGGCTTTTTACACTACCCGGGTTGACGATAATGGTAATGAAATAGAACGTCGCCATTCGGCGCGTAGCTTGGCGATTTCCTTGAGTGCTAGCAGCACCAGCACTAACACGTCTCGCGTCAATTTGAGTTCTCGAAGTTGCGAGACGAAGGCTAGCGTAAGGTAATAATTCATGGAAATTGTTTCCTCAAAAAGGACAAGTATATAAATATGAATGTGAGTTTTCTTTATCATTTTAAGACACATAAATCCTGCAGCTTTTATTGAAAAAACACCAGATCAAAGTGAGACTAGTAGTATAAACGATGAAAGTAAACTACAACCACCATCAGAAAATCAGAGCGATATTGTGCCACCTTTGGATTTACAGTCTGAAGATAACTATCCTACTACACGTGACTACACCTTCTCTTATCGCAAACACTGCGAAGCAGCTAAAATTGTTTTAAAACCAGACTTAGCCTATGAAACATGGTTATCTGCCAAAAGGTCTCGATATCTCTACACTAAAGAAAATTTATTTTACTTAGTTTTTTATTTACTGACGTTTTGATAGGAAGCTTATTTCTGATGAAGCTGCGCGACGCCGGAAATCAGAAGAGCAGAAACGCAAAGAACAAGAAGCAAGAAAACGTCTTTCAGAAGAAAAGTTTCAACAGTGGTTGAAAACAAAATCAAGACAAACTCGTTCTCATGAAATAATCAAAACACATGTTGAACTGGAAGAAAAACCATCAAAATCTCAAATTATCGATGAAGAAGCACAAGCTAAACTGGAGGCTTGGGAACGCACAAAACAAATAGAGGAGGAACAACGTCGTAATATTAAGAAGAAAGAAGAAGAACGACGTCGGGTTATGGAAGAACAGCGACGGCAAATGGCCGCGGAAGCATGGAAGAAATGGTTAGCTGAGGTGGATAAGAAGCCTCGACCGGTGCCGCTTAATCGAGGGATATTCACGTTACGTGGGACTATATCCGATATTTTCGTTAACCCGAACGAGTGGCAAAGTACAATTCCAATAGAGGAAGACTGATACTTTGTATTGAAATATCACAGGTTTTATTTAATTAATTTGTAATTCAATAGTGTTTATATATCAACTTTAATGAAATACTTGGAAACTGAAATGTTCTAGAGTTACAAAATTTTGCGATGTGGTATTATATATATATATTCACTTATAAATTGCATATCGTACATTTGGACGGACTGTACGGATTTTATCAGAGAAAGTAAATGTATTATTTCCTCATGCATTTTCCGTATTATAATATTCGAACTAACTATTTTTTTTGTTCCGTCGCTATAGAAATTAAAGCCATTTGTATTTTTTAGGAAAATAAAAAGGAACAATAACGTATAGCAAAGATTAAGGTAATTAAGAATTGTTTATCTACATAAATAAAATATGAAACATTATTATTAGGTTATTCTGTATTTACAGTGAGAACAGAGTCGTTCCGAGGCACCTGGTGATCCTAGCATATCGCTCCATTCGATATACTTTGTTTGCGCTTTTTACTTTGGTTTATAATATTATATTATATCGCCTTTCAGGTTTATTGTTCATAAGAATATTTCAGAGAGGCTATTTGTACGCAATAAAATAAGGCAAATATACACTTACCTTCTTCGGATATTGTTAGTAATAAAATTGGCAAATCAGTAATTTTATATACACTTTTATATGTATGAATATAGTTATGTATTAAACAGCCATTTCCATTGAAATTTTCGGATACGGATTGTAGTTGATAACTTCAAAATCCTTAAAAGTGAAATCTTCAATGCATTTTAACTCACGCTTAATAAGTAATTTAGGAAACGCCCTAGGTTTTCGTGTTAACTGTTCTGTTAGCGCTTCAATATGATTATTATAGACATGTGCATCACCCAAAGTGTGGACGAAATCCCCTGGCCGGAGATCAGTAATATGAGCAATCATGTAGGTAAGTAAAGCGTACGAGGCAATATTAAATGGTACACCCAATCCCATGTCAGCACTGCGTTGGTATAATTGACAAGATAACTCTCCATTGGCAACAAAAAATTGTGCAAGGCAATGACAAGGTGGTAGAGCCATTTGAGGAATATCGACAGGATTCCAAGCAGACATTATAATACGTCGATCATTTGGATTGTTTCTGACTGTGTCAATTACTTGCTGAAGTTGATCTATACCCTCATCTTTGTAAGTGTCCTTGCAATTTCTGTACTTGGCCCCAAAATGACGCCACTGAAAACCATAAACTGGGCCTAGATCACCTTCTTCTCTGTCGGAAAACCCACATTTGTCTAAGAACTCACGATTACTGTTTCCATCCCATATGTGAATATTTTTTTCTTGAAGTATTTTAGCGTCTGTTTGACCATGAACAAACCACAGCAATTCTTCAGCGACCGCACGCCAGAATACTCGCTTTGTAGTTAATAATGGAAAACTATTTCGGAGATCGAAGCGCATTTGAGCACCAAAAACTGATTTCGTCCCAACACCAGTTCGATCCGATCGATCCACACCTGCAATAATCAGACTGAATTCATGTTTGGGAAATGAAATGGACTCAATTTACCATTAGTAATAATTCTTTTAATAAGGTCCAAATATTGTTGCTCGTCCTGATTTATTTCAGAAGCACTCTGGTTAAATATATTGGAGTCACCGCTCATTTTTAATATATTGGCTTGTGGTAATTGATATATCTGTTTCAAATTGGGCGAAACCGTTCTTTGCTTTAATAACGAACTGCTTAAAAAAAATATGAAACAACACGACTAAAGGCGCGTTAACTAAACTTTTGGCGCTATCCAACCTTCCAGGGTTTCCAAGTCTCAGTAAATATATAATAAGTAAAATACATAAAATCTAATTCTACTAAATTGTAGCAAAAGTTACAAAACATATATTTTTACTCATATTTATTATAGGCGAGTTTTATTTGACCAGCACCTTAATATATATGTTAGTTATATACTAACTAACTAAAGGCATTGCTAGTTTTTGTTCATTCACAATAGTTGGCAATAACGATGACCTTATTTTGACAATATGGAGAAAGGTTAAACAACCTACACACTTACATCAGAAGAACGTATATCATAGAGAAGGTTCACAGTGGCGGCCATTTGCAAAATATTTCATGCTTCGCAGGGGAACTGAAAAGATGAGCGTGTTTCACCAATTTGGAAGGGGTACTGAAACGATGAGCGTGTTTCACCAAATGTCCACAATTAACATCAGGGGACTGAAAATAGCAGAATTGAGCATTTTCAATGTTAATTGAGAAAAATAATGCTAATTTCAATGTTAAGAAATACGCTTACAGATTCGTATATTTACAATGCGCAAACGACTTTGCATATAATTTGAAGATATTTGCCTATACAGGGTGGCTAACGAATCGTGCTACAAATTAAACCGCAATAAATTTCTTTTTAGTCAATGCATTACATTATTTTGTTATTGTATAGAAAATTTTATTTTATTTAAACAATTAATTATTTTTCCATACTCAACACGATATGCGACACCTAATTCGGGATTGCCTCAATTATCTATTTAATGGACCGCTTCAGTTCAGTCAGATTTCTGGTTTGATTTGTACACCTCTTGATTGACATAACCCCATAGAAAAATACCAAGCCGTCGAAAATATTCTTATACATTAATATAGTATTATGTGTGCATGTAAACAAATATGGAAGTACCCTTTATAATTAACATTTGTCTACATGCAACATATCTGTGTAAGTATGTACACTCATTGTTTCATGCGAAATCTCCGTTGCCCTGACAACCAATGGCCGAAGCTCACGTTTTTTGTTTTCTTGTCAAGAGTCACTGTGTCGAAGGACTGACGCGACGACAAGGCGTCACAACATTGTGTTGTTGGAGAAAATCCGAACTATGCCGAAATAAATAACGAACGGCCGCGATTGCCACCGCTTCTGTGCGCTCTAAGCTTTGCCAAAACTATCGTAAATATGTATGTTTATATATGAGCATGCCTACATATTGACGCAGATTTTTGTGAGACACGGAAAAATATTTTAAAATTGTAAATTTAAATTGTAACATATTTTAAATCGATGAAAGCATTTCATATTATCAAACATAAAGCAATATTAAAAAGCAACTGCAAATATTCCTTTGAAGTAATATATTTTAACTAAAATCAGAGAACTTAAACAATGAGAAGGTGCAGGTTCGACAGCGAACAATTTGTAGGAATTTATCAAGGAGTTCACCACAGATGCACGAGAAACAAATAACATTTTCGCTTTTATATCAGCGGTGAATCTGTAAACATACGCTCTCTTAACATTACCAAACGGCGAATATTGAAGAGAAATACTATTATGCCAAACTGGGAATATTGATATGCTATTTGAAACATATTCCTTTATTGAACTATTATTTATTATTTTAAATTATTTTATGTTAATTCATTTTTACTTTATAGTAGAAATATATCAAAATACTTTTAAATTATTACTAATAAAGTATTTTGATATATTTCTTAAAATAATTCATTAATTGTACTTGACACCATTAGGAGTCATAAAAGTACAGAATTGTGTTTGGCCGTCGGTATTTCACATTCATGCTTCAATTTTCTTTTCAAATGCATGTGTAAACATATGTAACAGGACATACATATATCAGAGAACTTAAAACTGAGAAGGTGCAAATTGAATTTTGTATGATGCTCGATTGGACATACATACATATTTATGTCGTTTAACATTTGTATGTATTTTTATGTAGATATGTAACTCATTACTTCATGTGAAATCTCCGTTGACACATTTTTTGCTTTATTGTCAAAGAGTCAATCTGTCGAAGAACTGACGCGACAAAAAGCGTCACAAACATTGTGTTGTTGGTAGAAAATCCGAGATGTGCATACACACTCTTACAAACATACATCGCATATGGGCAAGTGCAAAGTCATGTGTGTACAAAAAATTCAAACGTACTTACGTAAATTCTTTGACAAATACAGTCAATCCCGGTTAAGTGCCAAACCAAGATGCAGATTTTTTGTGCTTTGTAGTACATAAGCGATTGTGGTACTTAAGCGAGTGGTACAAAAAAATTATTTCTATGTATTTAAAAAAATTACCGTTTTCTTAAAAAATTAAGAAAAAAAGTGAGATGCAGCAAGACACCGGCAAATAAGAGGAATTGGAGGAGTGATACTTAACCGGGGTTTACTGTATACATAAATCAGAGGAATATTGAATATTTCTCTAAAAAGTTTCTTGAATTGTAAATCGACAAATTTACTATGTTGTCACTTTTATTCTAAAATATTTTAATACTCATATTTGAGGGGTTGTCACTTTTCCCTTCTAGGGAATATCAGAAATTTGTTCAATTTATGATTTTAGCTTTTGCCATCGTCGCGAAAGACGCTGTAGGCAAACGCATGCTCGGGGAGATGTGTAGGCGTTTGCTTTTATGAATGAAACGACTTAGCTTATTGCTTGTGCGCCAGCGTTCATGAATGAAAATGTTGTTGGTGTGTGATTTACTACAAATTTAGGATTTGTCAATTGGCTGCCATATTGATCTGGTGCTGATGCTATTTAAGACAATTGTTGTTTTTGTACAACAATGTTTGTATTTTCTTATTGGCTGACGTACTTACATTTGTACGCTTAAATGTATGTAGATTTGTGTATGCATTACTTATTTTGCGCGGTCATATGCATATTTGAACATACATACTTACATATAGAGCAGTGCGCTCACATGTATTTATTGATAATTGATAATATATTATTATATTATATAATATAACATATTGATGTACATACATAAATTATTAATTCTGTAAAAATTGAAATAGAAAATTATGAAAATAGTAAATATCATTTTTGCATAATCTTTCGCATTTATCAATGTAGCATTTGTTGCAAAATAATAATAATTTATCAATTTTCATCATAAAATCGTTTATGTCGCAAAAATAATCATGCATATGTAAGTGGCATTTGTATTTCTTGTTTTCTCATTCATTCATTTCATTTTTCTCTTTATATTGGTAGATACGTATTTTGTCAGAGAACGTTGTTAACATTCTCATTTCTGTTAAATAACAGCAAAATGTACATAAAGTGGTGAACTCCTTGATCTCAAATTTCAGCCAACCAATCGAGCATCATACAAAATTCAATTTGCACCTTCTCATTGTTTTAAGTTCTCTGCTAAAATGTAATACATTTTTCATGATATCATAGATATTCAGAAAAGGAATTTCATATCTTTGAATATGATTGCATATAAACGTATAAAAAATAAGCTAACATGCGGCTGTAATATATGCAAACTTCTGAGCATAATTTTCATACAATGCTCACCCAGAGAACTTAAAACAATGAGAAGGTGCAGGTTCGACAGCGAACATTTGTAGGAATTTATCAGAGTTCACCAGATGCAGAGAAACAAATAACCATTTTTCGCTTTTATATCAGCGGTGAATCTGTAAACATACGCTCTCTTAACATTACCAAACGGGCGAATATTGAAGAGAATATACTATGTTGCCAACTGGGAATATTGATATGCTATTTGAAACATATTCTTTATTGAACTATTATATTATTTTTAAATTATTTATGTTATTCATTTTTACTTTATTATGAGAATATATCAAAATACTTAAATTATTTATAAAGTATTTTGATATATTTTTAAATAATTCATTAATGTACTTGACACCATTATGAGTCATAAAGTACAGAATTTGTGTTTTGCCGTCGGTATTTCACATTAAATGCTTCAATTTTCTTTCAAATGCATGTGTAAACATATGTAACAGGACATACATATATCAGGAACTTAAAACAATGAGAAGGTGCAGGTTCGACAGCGAACAATTTGTAGAATTTATCAGGAGTTCACCACAGATGCACGAGAAACAAATAACATTTTTGCTTTTATATCAGCGGTGAATCTGTAAACATACGCTCTCTTAACATTACAAAACGGCGAATATTGAAGAGAATATACTATATGCAAACTGGGAATATGATATGTATTTGAAACATATTCCTTTTATTGAACTATTATTTATTATTTTTAAATTATTTATGTTAATTCATTTTACTTTATTATGAGAAATATATCAAAATACTTTTAAATTATTACTAAATAAAGTATTTTGATATATTTCTTAAAATAATTCATTAATGTATTTGACACCATTATGGAGTCATAAAAGTACAGAATTGTGTTTTGCCGTCGGTATTTCACATTCATGCTTCAATTTTTCTTTTCAAATGCATTGTAAACATATGTAATCAGACATACATATATCAGAGAACTTAAACAATGAGAAGGTGCAAATTGAATTTTGTATGATGCTCGATTGACATACATACATATATTATTCGTTTACACATTTGTATGTATTTTTATGTAGATATGTACACTCATTACTTCATGTGAAATCTGTTGACACATTTTTGCTTTATGTCAAAGAGTCAATCTGTCGAAGAACTGACGCGACGACAAAGCGTCACACATTGTGTTGTTGGTAGAAAATCCGAGAATGTGCATACAACTCTACACAATACATCGCATATGGGCAAGTGCAAAGTCAATGTGTGTACAAAAATTCAAACGTACTTACGTAAATTCTTTGACAAATACAGCAATCCCGGTTAAGTGCCAAAACCAAAGATGCAGATTTTTGTGCTTTGTAGTACATAAGCGATTGTGGTACTTAAGCGAGTGGTACCAAAAAAAATTATTTCTATGTATTAAAAAAAATTACCGTTTTCTTTAAAAATTAAGAAAAAAGTGAGATGCAGCAAGACACCGGCAGATAAGAGGAATTGGAGGTGATACTTAACGGGTTTACTGTATACATAAATCAGAGGAATATTGAATATTTTCTAAAAAGTTTCTTGAATTGTAATCGACAAATTTACTATGTTGTCACTTTTATTCTAAAATATTTTAATACTCATATTTGAGGGTTGTCACTTTCCTTCTAGAGGGAATATCAGAAATTGTTCAATTATGATTTTAGCTTTTTGCCATCGTCGCGAAAAGACGCT